AGAATGTGTCAAACATAGCATGTTGTTATCGAATCTCGTGCAAAATATTGGGTAAAAAAGACTCTGCTGTGAGAAAATCAAAAAGTTGACGATAACAGGAGAATAGTGGACGGTGTTACAGAGTTTGCTGGCATTAATTCGCCAGGTGTTTTAACCAATTTTGCGGGAACGTTTCAAGCTCAAGAGAGGTTAAGCGAAGGGTGTCCTATATTTTCTCGTAAAAACCAAAATGGCGCCGGTGTTGTTCTGACCCCGCCGTAACTCGATATGTCCGAAAATTTTAAATCATGGAAAATAAATAAGATTGTACATAGCAAAGAAACTCAGATTTATTTTTTTTTTTTTGAGTCGAAAGTCAAAAGCAAAAGTGAGTTTTGGATCGCCAAAGTTGAAATAATATGTAAAAATACGCACAGAAACAAGTCCGGGGGAAGACTTTTGTACGTCTTATTCGTAAACGGTAAGAGTCCTGACACTCAAAATACATTTATGGAAAACTGCATTGTTACACTTCAATTTTATATAGAATATCTTTTATTTAATATAGGGGAGAGCTATATAATAGACCGAAAATCCATCTATATCATATAAATAAAAATATTTTATGAACGCCTAAGATAAAATTACCGTGCTTATTAACCATGCAAAAAAATAAGATATGGAATTACTGATTTACTGTATCATTTTTACAGTCTTACTCTACCTCCATACAAATTTTCTTTGAAATATCTTTTCAAAGAAGCCTTTGACAGCACTTTTTCGATGTTCTCATGGACAAAAAAACACGACTTTTCAGTATGCTAAACATTCGAGATTCTGACGTCATTTTTGGAGTGATTACGTCATAAATGTAAAAAAATACGTTAATATAGGTGCAGATTTTCCAGCTCTTTTCAATGGTACCAAACTTCTTAACGTCCGTGTAATAGTTAACATTTTAGCGAGCAGTTCTCAGAACTTTTCAAATGCCCCTCGTATACTTTGATTTACAGGTTCTAGTCTACAATCTCCTGTGTTCTCTATTGCATTGTATAGTCTGTCTGCTAGAATTGTCAAGGTTGCCCCGGTATCAACCAACAGATTGCATGGCACATGATTCACAAAAGCTTTGATGAATAAGCCAGATTCTTTATTGATTGTCCTTGCTTGACCGCAGTTGTACAAGATACAACTTTATTGCTTTTGTTTCGGGTTTGAGTCTCTGAGCGACTTTTTTTTTTTTGATTAATCGTTTGACTCTGATTTCCGTACCCTCTCACTAATTTGATTATTCTTTACCCAACAGTCTTTAATTCTATGACCACGCTTTCCACAGTTGTGACATTTATATGGAAAAGCATCTGGTTTCAATAACTGATTAGAACTAGGTGGTCTCGGAGTCTCTTTCGTTACAGCCATGTCTGCAATTTTCCTTTCTAAATTTCTTAATGATTCCTGCAGTTCATTACGTAGCTGCTTCATTTCATCTCTCACACTTGAGTTTTTATGAGACTCTCTGATATTTTCCTGATCTCTAGTTGCTCCTCTTGCAAAACCGACATTATGCCGACGTTGGCGTTCGGCTCTACAGAAAGCCTCAATTTCAAGCGCCAAACGTATAGCACCATATAAAGACCTAGGGCCTGATTGTTGAATGCGTAAGCGCATATCAAAATCTGTCAACGCATCAACAAACTGATCCTTGGCAATCATCTCGGTAACTTCTCTTGGTGCTGTCGGGTAAGCTAGGTGAGCCAAGCGTCTTATACTTTCACCAAGCTCCGGTAACGTTTCGGATGCCTTCTGTCGTTTATCTCTCAGCATTGCCCGATACAGCTCTGTTTGATTGGCTGGTGCAAATCTATCTTCTAATGCAACACATAAATCCATATATGTGCAAGCCATACCTCCCTTCATATTACCAAGGACAGTCTGTGCTTGTCCTCTCAATGACGCTGCAAGATATAAACTTTTCTGGTGCGCATTCCACATGTTTATATCACTGCTCGCCTCTAAGTGAGCTTTATAGTCTATCCAAGACCCAGTTCCGTCGCTGGTTTCATTACAGTTTTACAATATGAACCTCCTCTATCATTACTTTGTGTGCCCTGCATACTCACATTTGGATTTTGATGGTACCCAATATGAGAGCCAGTTCCGGTACCTGGCCCTTTTGTCCAGGTTACACTAGTTGTCGTCGTTGTAGCACCTGAAGTACACCAAGAAAAACCAAGTGTGGATCGTGTCTCGGAAAACACAGACTGTTTGATGGAACTTTTCCTCAGCAAGTCATATTTACTGGCTTTACTGTCTCCTCTCATGTCCCTGTGCTCATCTTCTCCATACAGCGCGTAACCTGATGACGGGTAATCAACATGATCAATGGTGTCCCTCATATTAGATGCACCCTCCGCGCCACGGTTACTGGACGATTTTGATGTCAATTCATATAAACTATTTTCTAATAGTTTGTCTCTAACATCTACCCCGGAGTCTGGAACTACATTTGACCTTGTAGTCTGGGGCGTCGACTTCTGCCTTTTTAATGTTTCTCTCAGTTTTTCTGTCTTAGCATCAACTGCACTGAGATCAGCGTACAGCTCATCTTCCATATTGTCCATACTCATTCAATTATCACAAGAACTAGTCTAATTCTAAATATTCATTGTTTAGCACTCTATAAATTAGAACTACGTATCCTACACTTGACACACAATGCCCAGTATCAATAAATCTGATTCCCTACACCCAAACACAATACACCTGGTACCCTACACTTGGTACACAACACCTGGTATCACTACTTGGCTTTACAGCACTTGGTAAACTGCATCGAGTTCCCAGCACCCGGTGTCAATAGCACCCGGTATCGCCTCTTGGTTTCACAACTCTGTGTAACACTGTACCGAGTTCACAGCACCTGGTGTCAATATACTAATTCTAAAGCACCCGTTATCACTAATTCACTGTACCTGATGTCAGTACTATCACAAATGTTAAAAAATTTAATACAAAGTAAATCAGACAACAATAAAAATTTAATCAGAAAACGCCTTGTACTCTATCCCTTGACCGGCTACCACCAAAATGTAACGTGTATGATTAGGTTCTTACAAGAGATAGATACTAAGTTTTCCTCTTACTCTGTCTGAGTTTATAATTGCAATGATTAATAAGACCGCTCTGTCTGAGGGTAAATCACACAGTATTAAAAATATTTCCTGTTATCTAGAGACGGGGACTGGGTATGATTCTTGCACCGTGTTTCTCCTCCTAGGTTCCTATTGATAGGAAAGAACTGGGTGTTTCAATCTTCTTCAGATTTACTACAACCAGAACTTAACATCAATTTCCTAGGATTACTTACCACTGGTGCTTCTATTCTATGGCTTCTATTCTTACCCTTACTACTTCTTTATTTAACTATTCTTTTGCCGGCTTCTGTTTCAGCTGTCGGCTTCTTCAGCTAACTTCTGAATGCCTGACTTCCCCAAAACTTCGCTTTATATAACCTTGGGCTAGTCTATGCCAAGGGAAGTCAGGTCATTCCATTATTTAAGGTCTTCAGTGCGTTTACATAAATGCCCCTTAACCATTACAAAACTTTCGTTTCTTGCCTCTGAAAGGTTTAAATCCATCAAATAAGTGGTTCATTTCTATAGGAAATAGTAGTAGAACGAAGTATTTGAAGCAGACTATTGCTGGAACTCTTCAGCATCGGAGGTTTAAACGAATAGCTTATTGCTATGAAAAATCAACAACTTTATATTTTGATTGGTTTAAACCTTTCAGAGGTAAGAAACGAAAGTTTTATGGTGATAGGGAATTAAAAGAATGTCCAAAGCAAAAAGTTGAAGCGGACAGCTAATTCATTTCAGCCCGTATTAATCGAAACAAGCGGGCGAAGTCCGGGCACGAAACCCCGAATGAGATAATGTGACACTGGTCTGAGATCCGTAGAGAAACCAGACCAAAATTTTTAGTCTCTACGGATCTCGCTGAGATTAACATTGTGGAGGCGAACTGGATCGAAAAACGAGGGGAGGGGGCAATACATCCAACACATCAACCTATGAAGTTTTATCTTTTTATGCAAAAATTTAAAAAAAATCATCTACGTATGTACAATTTCTAAAACGAGGTAAATTATTGAAAAACAAGTTGATGAAACAAGAATATCAGCAGTCTCGTTTAAAGTCATCAATTCGTAAGTTCTATGGTCGATACAATGACCTTGTCAGCAAATACAATTTATCATTGAGTCAAATGCTGACTGACGTTTTTCATACTAATTGTTAGACCATTATTTACAGACTGAATTGTTGACGGATTTTTTCGCAATTTCCCGATCATGACAAGGAGCACACGGCGGGTGTGACCGGTCGGCAGGGGATGCTCACACCTCCATGGCACCTGATCCCACTGATGTTTTGGAGGTCCGTGTTTGCTCTGCTCCTATTTTGTATTGTTTAATGGACTTATACTAGTATTAACTACATCCAGTCAAATCACAACCAAATATGACATATCCTTTTTGGGAGACAGGAAATGGGCTTTGACTGACCACGTGTTGCTGCTTACTACAAATGCCGTACTGTAAACAATCATTCAATGTGATTGGTCAGTATTATTAGTAGTATTGCTGAATTCTGTGTTTCATATGCAAAGTAGTATTGCTTTAATTGAAATCCACCAATTGATAAAGAATATGATAATCAATTTGCGAAATTTTACTACGGTCGATCAAGCAAACTGACACGCTGTCATTGTAATGATAGTAAATGAATAGAAAAATTGAATTTCACTGAAAACTTGAATCGAATGGTAGATTTGTAATTATTTATAATTTCCTTTTTTTTTTTTAATTTTCAGTCGATACCGTCATATTTTATATATCACGTATGAAATGCAGAATCACGTTTTATCGTATCCAGTACATATGTATTTAATGTGTGATTGCTTCGCTTTCCCTGTTGTGATAAGAACAACGATGTACAAGATCAATGAAAATGTTAAAAATTCGTCGAGGACCTACTTATCCGGGGTGGGTACGTGGGTTCATTCAACACTGTCACCTCATTCTGCACGGAATGCTGATAAGACACCACAAATCAGACATGCCGAGTTCCTAAGAAGTAAAAACAAATCGTCTTCAACGCAGTATGTAAAGAGCTTCATAAAGGAATTCTTTAAACATGGAAAATAACGCATATGAAACCATTGAAGGTAAGTAAAATTACAAACCAGAATTGTTCTCAATCAGCATAATTATGTTTATTTTCACAGTCTGTGACGAAGTAGGATAGTTGACATAAAAAAATGATGTTTTCAATAAATTCAATCTAATAAACATGTAAAAAAAAAAAATAAATAAATAAAAATAAAAATTTAGCCTTACGTTATTGAGATATCTTAAAAAAGTTTTTTTTTTAATTAAACGTGATAGATTCTGAAACGAACGGAGGAATTAGCCGTCCAGTTGAAAATGGTACCCGAAAAAGATACCTTACGGACAGCACAGAGTCGCAAGATGTTAGTGAAGTCAGTATAGTACCCGAGAGGGTCCGTATGAAGAAAAATGTCGGACTCATAAGCGGAACATCTCTGATAGTAGGCACCATCATAGGTAAAATAACAGTCGACATATGACACGAAAACAATCTAACGTTACTAGAAGGTAATAAATAACAGCATACGAGGGTTGCGTGGCAACAGAGAAATTGTAGGCTGATGATCATCTACTTGACTCTTTTTAATGTCACAATTTTAGTTCTGTTTGATTATATCATGAAAAGTATTACATAAAGTTTACTTTATTTGGTTATTATAAAACAGGATCCTTTACATATATCAAAAACCTATTGCTATTTTCATTTTAATACTGATAGACTGTTTTTAATCATCATTGATGGTACACAGGTGAAAGTATGTTCACTTTAAGGAAAATAATGTGTGCTTTGCTTACAATAACAAGGTTAACAATTCTTTAAAACTTTATTTTGAACGTTTATAATATAGATTTAATAAATATGATATGATTTTCGCAATTATTCCAATTTTTGTGTTTCATGCATGTATGATATTGCACAAGCAATCATATTCATTGACACTTTTAAATCATGTCAAAAACATTTTTGTTAAAATTAAAAAAATATTCTAAAGTACAAAAAAAGAATAATGAAATTTGTTATAATTGCTTGTAGGCTCCGGAATTTTCATATCACCCAAAAGTGTGCTAGACAGGACAGGATCTGTCGGACTAAGCCTTGTTGTCTGGGTAGCGAGTGGATTCTTGGCCTTGCTTGGTATAAGTTTTATTAGTTTTCTCAAATTTAAACTACTAGGCTTAGTTAACAACCCAAATACTATAGTACTCCACTCTGTTAATTTCATTCACCTATCAGGTTCATTGTCGTACGCTGAGTTGGGAACTGTCATAAGAAAATCAGGTGGGGAATATGTGTATATTAAGGAGGCGCTGGGAGATATTCCCGCTTTTCTGTTCGCATGGACATCTGTGATGGTGGTCAGGACTTCCTCCATGGCTATTATTTGTTTGACTTTTGGTGAATACATGGCTACTTTTTTCCCGTATTGTGGATCACCAGTCATCCCTATGAAAATTGTTGCTGCTCTTGCCATTGGTTTGTCCTTTACATCTACTTTTTGATTTGATTCAATGTTGTTATCTAATTTACCTTAAAAATATTATTAGTTATATTTTACTTTCTTTCATCTATAAATATTTACATCCACTGAATATTATTTCCTTTATTTCTTATAAAAACCATTGCTGTTAATCAGTCAGTAAGCAAAACTAAGAAAGCCACCTGCATAGATTTCTTAAGCAACGGCTATTCGATCAATTATGCATACAATTACATACACATCTATAATACAATATTTAACATACTTAATTTACTTTGAATATTTTTTTTTACAAAGATGTAAATATAAACAATAAAATGTTCTTCTTTGTTTGATAGTGCGGGAATTAACGTCGCAGCTATTGCAGAGAAAATACACATAACCTGCTTACGCGGGTTATGTATTTTTTCTGCAACAGCTGCGACATTAATTCCCATACTAACAACCAAAGAAAGCATTTTATTGTTTAAATAAGCAATATCCTTGATAGTATCCCTTGGAGTCATTAACAGTTACAGTACAACTCTGGCCGGAAGAACCCAGGTCTTCTTCACAGCTGTGAAACTACTTGCTCTTGTTGTCATTGTGGTAGGAGGCATCGTCAAACTCATTCAAGGTACCATCTGTTTTTGAACATGAACACTTTGAATAAAACATTACTTTGTGTAGTCTACACGACTGAGTTACTAGAAAGAATTACATCTTCTTTTGTTCCTACATAGGGAACACATCTCAATTTGAAAACAGTTTTGATGGTACAACGACCTCCCCCTCCAGTATTGCTCTAGCGTTTTATAACGCTCTATGGGCTTACGATGGCTGGTAAGCATGAACGCTTTTAAATTGAAGTTTCTTAGCTTAATTTCTCTTTAGACATAAAATTGTTTACCCAACGCTTTCTATTTACTTAGCATTAATAAGGATTATAATTGTAAACTCCTTATTATAACTTGTTTCCTCGGGTTATGCTTTAAATTTTTGATTTTTCGTTGTGGAGGTAAATACATTTATATACATTGTAATTTCTGCACTTCCCCCAGTGAATTCCAAATTTACATCATGAAATTAGTTTACTTGCCGTGCAGAAATGCAAAGCATAATACACATATGAATATAATCATAAAACAATTCAGTTTAGAATGTTTCCTTTGTTTTACAGGAATAACCTGAATTATGTTACAGAAGAAATAAAAAATCCAGCTAAGTACGTAGGATATTAATGAAGAATTTATGCACTATCAAAGTTATGCAATTCAACACTCACCTCATTTGCAACTTTAGTCTGAGTCATGAAATTAAAATATCGGCGTCATATTTCTAACTCTGCAGTTTTTCTCAGTTGTATTCATACATGCATTCCTTTTAGTATCTGGGTTTTTTTCCCCTTTATTTCTGTCTGTAGATTTAACCTTGCTTGCTCTTTCGAAGGAAACAAGAGGGGCATCATATTCAGTCATATGGTAATTTATGTCTAAATATTGTGTCTTGACCTTGAACCATTGTCATGTGAGCAAGGTCATACGAGTTATAACTGAAGTGTAAAATTCTCGTCTATGCATAACCTTGTAAGGGAGAAACAACACTATCTTATGATCTAAACCAAAATGTTTAAAATTTAGAAAAGTTTACCTATTTATGGATTGGAAGTCTAATATATCTAATATTTCCTTATTCCTCTTAAAAATATCAACACCAGTGAAAGGAGAAGCCTCAGCAGTACTGTAAAACAGCATATGCAAGAAGTGTCATTAATCAGACGTGGATACTTAAAAACTCCAACTTAAAGAACTTGGAGAAAATTTGAAATTAAAAAATTCCCAAAATCAATTGCATTAAATCATTTGAGTTTTCAACATATTATACAACCATTCACCCTCGACAAATTAAAGACCAGGCTTTTTGACATCATAGACACCTGCTTCTTTAATAAGAATGGAACTTGCATCTTGTCATTCATTTACAAACTTATTTTATTTAAAACCATTCTGATTTTAGGCACAAGTAATCTGTATTTTGAAGTTGCTTTCAAAAAGATTATGAAATAGATCCGTAAAAGATGAGTTCCTCATTGACAATATCTATGTAGTCTTTGGAGACCAATTTTCCAACTATATATTAGAATTTCCATGGCTTGTAAATGTGTCCAATTATTAGCAGATCTGTTTCTGTCTTCTTTTGAAGCATAATTTAATTCATAAACTTCTACATGAAAAGAAGAAGTCCAAGTCTGTGGCCTTCAATTCGACATTGGGATATATCGATGATGTTTTATCAATTAACAATATTTATTTTCAACCATACGTTGATTCGATATATCTCATTGAACTCGGAATTAAAGATAACAAGGAGTCTGACACATCTGCTTCATATTTAGATATTTTATTAGAGAAGGACATTTTCTATCGCAATCTTTCCTTATTTATATATCAGTGAGCCATAATCACCTACATATGGGGTTTATACCTCCTAGTGAATTCGATATGCAAGAGTATGTTCAACATATGAACAATTTCTTAAACGAGGCAGACTACTGCCAGATAAGTTGATGATACAAGAGTTTTTACAATTGTTGAAAGTCCACATTTTAAAAATTCCATGGTCGATACAATGACCTTGTTTGCAAGTACAGTCTTGGTTGAATCTTTCATACAAATTATTAGTCCCTTATTTTCATACCGAATTTACTACGACTTTCTCCGTTTACCCGATCATGTCGAAGGGCATACGTCGGATGTGACCGATTGACAGGGGGTTGCATACACCTACTGAGCACTTGGTCCCACCTCTGATATTTTCAGATGCCCGTGTTTGTTCTGCTCCCAATTTGTATTGTTTCATTGGATCGACTTTAGAGCATGATTTCTGTTTGTTATCTTCACAATTCATTGAAGAATGCGAAAATCTCATGCTTTGCCTACGGGTAACTTATGATCAAAGGATTTGTTATAACCATGACCATTGGTTATTTAGATGGTGTAAAAGGCACCGAGATTTTAAGGTTTGGTCAAGAATTTTGTAAGAAGATATGTCTCTGTTTTGAATTGGCGATGTTTGGGAGCAAATTTCCAAGAAGTATCTTGCTCACTTTATTTTCCCTTCTTCTATTCGTTTCTAATAATTTCTTCTGTATATAGAAACCTTCCTCGAGCTAACGTCTTGGGTGTGATGATCACCACCATAATATATCTATTGGTCAACATTTCATATCTCACTGTCATGACTTCCACAGAGCTTCTGAACTCATCAGCTGTTGCTGTGGTGCGTATCTAGTATCTATTATTGTCGTACAGTTGTGTCTGAAAACATTGTAATTTGTGAATCTTATGTTTGTTTTGATTACTCTTAATCTTTAAATGTTAAAATTTCTGTAATATTTAAAAATATTATATTGTCTGAAGGTTATAATAATACAATGTATATTCGTGTTTCTGCAGACCTGGGGTGACCGCGTTCTGGGAGGTGCTGCTGCACTGATGCCAATAGCCGTGTTGTTCTCTACGTTTGGTGCTGCAAATGGAACATTGTTTGGAGGTGGAAGGTATAATAATCGTGCAGTTTAATAAATGAAAGAGTTGACTAATGTATGTATTTTCTTGGTTTTCTTAAGGAATAATTAATTTCTTGCACTATTAAGAGTTGTGTATGTAGCTGGGAGAGAGGGGCACCTTCCAGAGATGTTGTCATACGTACATTGTAAATATTACACGCCATTTCCCTCGGTGATATTCACAGTAAGTAACAGTACATTTACAGTGTGGCTGTGATTTTATTTTTCTTTTCGTTGCTGAAAAGGTAATTTGGATTCACTTAAATGGAATATGGAGATAACGGACAGTATTCAAGCTCGAAGTCCAGAACAAACACGGACCTCTAAAAACAGAGGTGGGATTAGGTGCCATGGAGGAGTGAGCTTCCCCTGCCGACCGGTTACACCCATCGTGTGCTCCTTGTCATGATCGGTAAATAACGGAAAAATCCTTCGACAATTCAGTGTGTAAATAATGGCCTAACAATGAGTATGAAAAAAGTCTCTCAGCATATGACTTAATGATAGATTGTATTTGCTGACAATGTCATCGTATTCACCATAGAACTTACGAAATGATGACTTTAAACGAGACTGTTGATATTTTTGTTTCATCAACTGTCGTGTTTGTCAATAACTTACCTCTTTTGAGAAATTGTTCATACGTAGAGCATGCTCTTGCGTATCGAATCAACTGAGAGATATACACCCCCATATGCAGGTGGTATATTGCTGCATAAGAAAGGGAAGCTGACGATTGAAAAGTTAAAGTTATCACGTTTATCATAAAGCCTTGTTTGTTAGATTACCATTAATGTCTTTTTCTGGTGAAATATACAATAAATTAAAACAAATTAATCATCACTTGTTTTAGATTGTGATTTCTTTGATTATGATAATTCCTGGAAACATTGGGTCGCTGGTAGACTTCTTTAGTTTTTCCGCCTGGTTGTTTTATGGTCTGACTGTCACGTGCCTCATCATCTTCCGCTTCACAAAGAAAGATGTAGAGAGACCTATCAAGGTAAAACATTTAAAGTAGTACTCACAAATCAATGAGAAAAGGTAGTCGAAAGATTTCTAAAATATTTTGCAGAATTGCAGAATGATCTTTAATGAGTAAAAGTGAAATTAATTGTAACTTAAACTAATTTTAATATGTAATTTTCCTACTTGATAATTTGTATTGGATTATATTTAAAGGTTCCTATTGTGATCCCCATACTCTTTGTGCTGATAGCTATTTACCTTGTTATTGGACCAATCATAGAAGATCCACAAATTGAACTCCTATATGCGTTCCTATTCATAATTGGAGGACTCTTATTTTATTTCCCTTTCGTCTACTTCAAGCTCAAAATTAAAGGATTTGGTAAGATCTGAGCAGTATTTTCATATGTCATCACCATTCGAATCGTAATTCCTGTAATCTGTGGCTTGGATGACAACATTTTGTTTGAAATTCTTTTACAAAGTATTTTTTCTTCTAAAGATTTATTTATGATATATTTTCGAAAATCCGTTTTTATGAACAAAAAAAAGACCAAACTCTCTCTTTGCAACAACATTTCTTTGTGGTATCTGAAATCTGAATTTAGAACAAATCATTTGTTATAATTTCAGAGGGATTAACAACGGGTGTACAATTGCTTTGTGAGGTGGTCCCCAGTCCATACGAACCAGAAAACTGAAAGCACGGTTAAAAAATCAGAGACCATATTTATGTGCATTGCATTCTTTGTTCAACTTTTTACAGACTTGCTTTTTGCTTTAAATGAGCAATATTATTGCAATGGATTATCTACAACTTTAAAAATAATATGTTTACATTGTCGGAAATTTTGAATTATAAAATTTAACATGTATTGCACTGGATCACCAATGATTCAACTAGATTGTCTCCAAAAGCAATAAAAACTACAGGTGCTGGGCCAATAGAAAAAATATCAAAGGAGTTATTATGCACAGAGATGAAAGAATGTAGATAAATTGTTTACTTTTATATATACAAATGGTTTTTAAACTGTCTAAATGAATAATGGGATATAAAATCAAACATTTTTTGAGTAAATACTTATATCTAGGTTTTAATTAACATTTTCTTTTTGATGATTTTCCATTTACTTACATTTCAGCAATGAAGATTTTTTTTCATGTTGATGAATGAAAAGTTAATGCAAGTGTTTAAATATGAATAATACATATCCTTTTCAATATCGCATCCTGTATAAGCCCGAGACTCCAATATCAGCCAAGTTTACGCTTTTATTTTTTTTAGTGCATGCTTAGTAATAAGATACAGCACATAACTACTTGAGCAAATACAAGTAAATAAAAATCATTTTTATACAGTAATTTAAAACTAAGAGAATGTGGACAAAAAATATGTGTATCATCACAATATCACAAAGGTTTAATCTATAAAGGATGTGATATAAATCCGTATCAGTCCTGTAGATCCAAATCTGCGGATTCTGTCCAAATCTGCCCTGCAGAATCCCAATCAGCCCTGGAGGCTGACACAGCTACTGTGACGTCAAGAATATCGTATATGCAAAAAAACCTTATTTATTACTAAGTATGTAATAAATCTATATTAATATATATGATCAAATACATGTACTTAAAACATATATATCAATGCTCATATATTGTTTTTTCACTTCTTCCGTCTTATATTTTATCATTTGTACATATTTTGTGAGAATTTAAAATCCTAAATAAATATGTTTTTATAAATATATCTGTATATTTTCAGTCTTTAAACATTTAGATAGTCGACTATTCGTTGACATCCCTAGTATACATACACTTTATAATAGTATCGGCCATACTAAGTATTATATTCTCTCGTCTGATTATTCATAAAATGACATGGCAATGATGGCAAACAGCATAAATCTTCCTGCCATTTTGATTTTGCTACCTTCACCTCAGGTTTAGGCTGAGAAGATTATTGACTGATTGATTGATTGATTGTATGATGGTTTAAACCCTTTCGAGAATTTTTCACTCGTATAGAGACATCACCATATACCCGTTGAAGGGTTTCAAAAGACATAGTCGGCACTCGGGGCCACTGAACAGTGAGGGTTCTTTATCGCACCAATGCCTACTGCGACACAGGACCTTGGTTTTAACATCTCATATCCGAAAGACCCGTGACTTTCACTCTTGGCGAAGGAACAGTTTGCTACCTATGTTTACGTCTTAGGTTTGACGTGGAGCGGCGAACGAGAATCGAACCTGGGCCTCCCGATCACAAAGCGAACCCTGTGAAAATGACAGTCTTGTAAAACTATTCATAAATATAGATAGATAATAACAGCTGTTTTCACAATAAAATTTATGTTTGTTAAAGCATAAATATTGACATGCGTTTTAAACAAATTAAAATTCGGTTACGAATTAAGGGACAGAAAACCATAAATTTAAAATTGGACGAAAAAAACGGATTTTATAAAACATAATTGAGATTCCTTATCTTCTATGGTCTGACTTTATTATTCTGTCCCACTGTCATGTACACATTCTGTGTAAATTTACGATAAGATTAGAAAAAGACATGCAAGTCTTATGTATTTGTGTTCCTGCGCCATAACCTATGTCTGCCCTGTATACAACAGAAAAAAAAGCCAACTGATGGAAAGCAGAGCATTTGACGGTTGGTATGAATATACATAGCTTGGTATTCTATAATTTGAAAATCGTGCAAATAATAATTATTCCCCTACCACTGGGGATTATACATGTACGTTTCCTATCGCTTCGTCTGTCTGTCTGTCCCACTTGGTTTTTCCAGATTTCTTGTCTAGAAGCTCTTAAAGGGGCCTGAACACAGTTGCATTGTTTACAATTTACATTTCTATGCTTATTCAAAAAATAAAAGTAGTTAAATAAAATGAACTTACATGAATATTCTTAGAATTCAATGACAACGACATTCTTCTAATATCACGTCAAACATCTATTTTTGTAAACAGGGCACGAGCTCTGTTATTGTTAATGTTTAATTTGTTAATCTTTGCACATATCACTGAGCAAGGACTGACAATACTGATGAGTTGGTTTTCCTTTCTAATATTTATATTCTGGATTTTCTGGATTAGAGTTTTAATATTTTTCATTAATACACAACCAAATTTCTAATATTTTTTGTAGTATAAAGGATAAAGTTTACTTTGTGAAAGTGCAAGGATGTTTCAATCAAACGCGTCTCTCAATTTGTACTTTCAATAATTTCAAGATAAAAGAAGTTCTGAACACGCTTTTATTATTTTTCCGTATGAAATACTATAGCAACATATAAGTCATGATATATTACAGAAAATTTGAGAACATATTAACTTCAAATCTGTGTAAAGGCCCCTTGAATGTTCCCTTTTCGTTCCGCTTTGATTTTTTACGGAAATACGCGAATACCGGGGCTCAGTATTGCTTGTACAACAATACCAGAATACTTGTTAAAGTTGAAAATTATTCAAGTTAAGGAGTGTGTGATTGAGGCAAAAAATGCTCCCACTAAAAATCGTTTACACTTTTTAATTTCAGTATATGAAAATACACCTATTGAATGTTAGCTATATCTATTCAATGGAATATTCAATGGTTGGCTATATCTATTCAATCTACAAGTATAACCGTTGTAAATCATTACAGAATATGCTGGTGCTGAAACTAGTTCCCGCAAAAGACAAACAATGGAAAGTCCAGATTGCAGGGATTCTCTGGTCACAGTGATCCCTGAAAAGGTCCGTATGAAAAGAAATATCGGGCTGATTAGAGGGACATCTCTCATAGTCGGAAGTATAATAGGTAAATTTCTTCGCTTCTTCGATCAAAAACAAACACGGAGACAATATTAAACTGAAGGTGTGTTAATTCTGTATAAACTCGATGCATAACTTAATTGCGACACGCCTATCTAAAAAATACACCAATCATTTTTTATTAATTAAAGCAAATTTAATGAAATATGCTTTTGATATCGGTATTGCTATTTCAGGATCAGGAATTTTCATTTCCCCGAAAGGTGTGCTTCAGAGAACAGGATCCGTTGGTTTAAGTCTTGTTGTTTGGACAGTCAGTGGCTTTATTTCTTTAATGGGTAAATATTAATGAGTAAATATTCTTTTTAGAATATTCTGTGAACCCGGACGCTTGTGTTCCCGAGACAATATTATTTAGATTAATGAAGCGTCCGGATTACTGCTGTATATATAAATAAATTGCTCCCCACAAATTTCGTCCGGAAGATAAAGTGTCCAGATTATTGAGGTCCGGATTAACGAGGCTTAACTATACTTGAATCACAGAAACACACGTATTGTGGAAAGATTCTTAACAGATTAACGATTAATTTAAACATTCAAAGTATATTTACATAAATGTCCCTGATATTGAGATGTGAGAAATGTTCTTTCTTTCCCCCAATCGCATAACTTAAGATAGAAAAGGTAAACATTTAAATAGCTACAGCGGGGACTATATTTTTGGCGGAACAGGAGCGTAGGAAAATATCTCAATTTCACCACAGATACATCAAGTTTAAACAGTCTTTAAAGATTTTAAAGTACATTAAATAATATTCATAATAAGGGACTTAAGTTTTAGAATATTATAATTTAATTTTCCAAACAAACTAGAGTCTTGTTAGCCTTCGTAAGTTTTCAATCTATTAACATATTTGAGTGAAAAATCATAAAAACCTGTTCCTCTCTTCTTTAAGAGTCTTTTTTTTTAATTTTGTATCTCTGATGACTTTCAAATGAGAAATTTAAAATTCAAATATATGAAGCATAGAAAAATAATTAATAGTAGAGAAAATTCGGGTCATACAATATCTATTTTCAGTTAAATTATTTATCTCTTTAAACTTGAAAGTGGTATTTGATAGAGAATATGTGGTATTATACGGGTATCTTTATACGCAAAACGAAAGAAACATTTAATTTATTCAAAAAAGGAGGAGCTATTAACATTAATTATTTATCCTTGTTGTCCAGAGAAAAGCTAACGAATTGATCCCACCTTGCTACTATGATATGATGGCCATTCTCTGAAATTACCTTAACTCTGATATGGGAGCCATGGCACCATAGTCAGAGAATTTTTTTTTTTCAAACTTGCTACGGTAAAAGTATTTGATACCAAAAATTAATTCATGTCAGGCAAAAATCAGTTGCTATTAACATATTTATAATGTAGCCATGGTTACCACTTATTAAGAGACATATTCCGAAGAATTTCTTCACAGCATAAATGGTTACTTGGTATAATGTACGGTATTTGTGTAAGTGGTAATTCGGTTTTTTCTTAGTCTTTGATAAGGTTTAATAAAGTTTCAAAAGAGTTGAAAATCTCATTTTTAAAATTCTTTTCCCGTTTGTTTTCTTGGTAATCAAAACTAATAGGAACCAGATTTGTATTGATTTTTGTTTCTGGTGTCAAGAAATAATAATGTGAAAAGCTTTATAAAAATCGGTGACGATGCAGGCCAAAAGAGCTTTAATGTAATGGTTACTTAAGGTCTGATGACACGTTGCTCGAATATCTGTTTTGTATCTCTTCGTAATATACACCAAATTAATCAATATTGTCATTATCCCGTGATTTCTAAATTATTTTAAAAACGTCTAAGTAAATAAAGACACCAAAAATTTGTGATATTGCCAATGCTATCATTTCCAATAGGGTTATATAGTAAACAACATACTCTGGTATCTTGCACAAATGCCTGGTAAGGTACCTTAACTTTGGTGAGGAAACTTGTTCAAGTAGCAATACTTCAATGACAAATTCTTTAGGAAAAATATCTATTATTGAGGAACGTGTCGTCTGACCCTAATTGAATCTGTAAAAATCTCATTTTAAAAGTTTTAAATACAATAGTCCTGAGAAGAATCTTCTTAAAGAATGGAGAGAAGATAGTTTTCTTTTGTTTTTTAAAGGTGCGTTGTCTTACGCTGAATTGGGTATCATCCTACCAAAGTCGGGAGGAGAATATATCTACATCAAAGAAGGCTTGGGAGATATACCTGCATTCCTGTATGCCTGGATATCAATTATTGTCATTCGAACCTCCTCTATAGCTGTCGTTGCTTTGACATTTGGGGAAAATATGGCCACTCTTTTCCAGTACTGTGGATCCCCAGTCCTCCCAATTAAGATTGTGGCAGCAGTCGTTATTGGTAAATTTTAGCAATTGATCTGCTTTAACCTTCTATTACTGAGTTACTATTTTTGACATAATTTTACCCATGCCTTTTTCAGTAACCTTGGGAGTTATCAACAGCTACAGTACCTCGTTAGCGGGAAGGACTCAGGTTCTATTTACTTTTGTAAAACTAACATCCCTAGCAGTCATTTCCATCGGAGGAATCGTCAAGCTTATGCAAGGTAAATGACCTCTAATCGGACAAAAAAGTGCACTCAATTCAAATTTTTTTATCAATTAAAAGTTTGCTCGTAATCTTACAGGAAACACATCTCAATTTAAAAACAGTTTTGAAGGTACGACCTCGCCCTCCAATGTTGCAATGTCGTTTTACAACGCTGTCTTTGCTTACGGTGGATGGTGAGTGAATGAATTAACTAATTCGTGAAAGCAATAGAGATATCGTCAGAGTGAATATTCTGCACAGAGTATAATGCATTATTTATACATACATGTAATATAGACCGTCAAATAATCCTTTCGTGTTGTAGGCAAAATCTTAATTTTGTGACGGAAGAACTGAAAAATCCAGTCAAGTAAGTCCCTAATCCTAACAAGCTTTGATTATTCTCAACTTATGCAAAAATAAATGAAATATATCAACATCCAGAAAAATTCTTTTTGCCTTTTTGTAGATTTCAATTTCCTTTTTCATGTTTTTGCATTGAATACAAAAAGAATAGATTTTGGGAAGAATGCAAATATAAGGAAGTCTTTAAAGGAAAACTGTGTCTTAGCAATGAAATAAGCCTGTACAAACTGTTTTTTTTCCTTCAGAACTCTAGACCATATCTTAAGTTAGTATTGCAAAGATTGGAATCATTTTTTCTGAGTTATTCTGTGATTCTTGCTTCCAAAGAGAAGGCAAAGAGATTTCCGGCCAAACAATTCAGTTTTCAATACCTTTGTTTCCTTCTTTGAAGTTTCCATTTAACAAATACATGTATCTGAATCACAATCTATAATTTTACAGAGACTTACCTCGCACCAACATTCTAGGCTTGATGGTCACCACAATTGTTTACCTGCTTGTAAACATTTCATATCTTACAGTTATGACCTCAACAGAGCTTGTAAATTCCCCAGCAGTTGCCGCTGTAAGTATACGTGTGAAACAGTTATATCTTTATAACGAAGGATTATTCTTGCTTTAAAGTAAAAAGTTCATTAATTTTTGCAAATTTACTTCACATCTGTATTTTTCTTAGCCATGGTTATGAATCTGAAAACTGAAAATTTGAAAACCTCAGTGAGAAAAAGGAAATTCAAGTTATAAAAATAAAGTTTGGCGAAATTGAAAACTTTTTCCATAAATGGAATTAAAGCTTCAGCTTTTCAATTATATCTTCCTAACTGCTTTATTAACTGATTTTTTTTACTTACAATGTTTCAAATTATTTCATTAAAACAAATTGTTCAGACTGGTGTCCGGTGTGAATTTTGTAGACATGGGGTGACCGTGTTCTGGGGACGGCTTCCGTGCTGATGCCATTGTCTGTGATGTTCTCTACATTTGGTGCCGCAAATGGAGCCCTTTTTGGAGGAGGAAGGTACTTCTTTATCAGGGTATTAATCGTGTCTCTAATTCAATGATTGCAAAGTTGCAACAGGCGAGCAAAAATAATCTAACTTACATTGTAGAGCACTATATGCGGCAGCAAGAGAAGGACACTTTCCTGAAGTATTGTCATACATACATTGTAAATATTATACACCATTTCCATCAATTATTTTCACGGTATGAAATTGTGTTTTTTATGTACATTGTTTTCCCATAATAATATATACCTTAAATATTATTTTATTGGCAATTAATCATACAATTTTCAAAATTGAACCTAGATAATGTTTTGGGGGACAAAACCATGTATCTTCCCTGCTATACTATACTGCTGTCCCTCACCGTAAATGACCTCGATATACTGCAGTATCTAATTCTTAATAATAAAGCTTTACAACATACAAATGGTTTTAAAAATACATACATCTCGAGCCATTCTTTAGCTATTTTCTTTATAAGTTTTTGGACAAAAAATTCCACATTGCATTGCCAAGCGACCTTAACCTTTGAATAATGACATGGAATCAAGATCATAACAGACCATTGGTCATTAATAATAACGGTCGTCCGCGTGGCGCAGTGGTTAGAGCGTCTGCTCTAGAGTCGCGGAGTAAGGAGTTGATCCTTACGTCACGGGTTCGAATCCCACTGCGGGACGTGGAGACCGGTCCTTCGGATGAGACCATATAAACCGAGGTCCCGTGTCGCAGTAGGTGCTGGCACGAAAAAGATCCCTCACTGCTCAATGGCCGTAAGTGCCGATTATATGACAAAATTTGCAGCTCTCCACCGGCAAGTGGTGGCGTCTCAATATGAGTGAAAAATTCTCGAGAGGGACGTTAAACAACATACAAACAAACAAACATTAATAATAACGTACTTAAATTTTAATTCATTCCAACTAAGAATTCCACATTTGTAATGTTCTGAAAACGATGAAAATATTTCATTAAATATTGGCCTTGAACTTGTTCTGATAACGAAAATATTTCATTAAATATTGACCTTGACCTTTAACTCAACTGTATTATGAACGTGTCTTACTAAATGAGAAATATCTATTACAGATAGTGATCTCGCTGTTTATGGTCATTCCGGGAGATATCGGATCTTTGGTAGACTTTCTGAGCTTCACGACCTGGCTGGTGTACGGGATGACAGTGTCATGTCTAGTCATATTCCGCTTCACGAAGAAACATGTGGAAAGACCCTTCAAGGTTAATATCACAGTGATAGTAAAACTGGGCAATTTATAGTCTTTAATGGCTCAATTTTATATTCTTTATTTTATCAATCATGGTTATAGGTTCCAGTTGTGATACCCGTGTTGTTTGTGCTGATCTGCATATATCTTGTGATTGGACCACTTATAGAAAATCCACAAATTGAATTTCTCTACGCTTTCTTGTCCATCGTCGCGGGGCTTTTCTTCTACTTCCCATTTGTATACTTTAAAGTGAAGATAAAAGGTTTCGGTAAGAAATTTATTTACTGCTCTTTACAATTTCATGACGAAAGTCAGTAGTAAATATTAATTGTGATTTTTTTAAATTTTCATTTCTGATTATTTTTAACTTTTTTCAAATGTAAAATGAAATGAATTTTAAGGAAGTGATTTATGTGAGCATGGAATCAATTAATGGCTAAAATATCGGATCATTCTCTTTAATTCCCAGTGAAGATTTTGCAACTTAAGTTCGATATGAAAAAGAATCAAAGGTGAACAGTTGTTTGTAAACTGTTTCATTAAATTCCTTTTTGTTCACCTAGTAGAAGTAGAAGTGGCGCCAGGTCTACTTACTTCATTCTAGTATTTCAGAATTAATTTCACTCACTTTGAATTCTTCTTTCATTGTAACACAGTGTATCGAATTCAAATTTTCTTTTTACTCCTGAAATTTTGTGAAAATATGTAATGAAAAAACTTCGTCAGAAAATTTTAAGAAAGAGATCGCTGTAAGAGAGACTACAAAATTCATCCATTTCAGAGCTGCTAACAACATCAGTACAACTACTTTGTGAAGTGGTTCCCTGTCCTTATGAACCGGAAACCTGAAGAGAAAGGAATTGCAGGAAATAAAAGGGAAAATCAAACATCATAAAATTATAAAAATTATATACCTGTCTGAAAATGGGAGGATTTCTTCTGCAATAATATTCAGTGTCCAAAGCATTCAATGTTGTCTGGTACTGATTTATAACTTTAAGAATTGCTTTTAAATGAAATTCGAGGGTCAGATAGCTATTTTAGATTAAATATACTGGCATGATAGAATTTTAAGGAAATGCATTTATCTTAAAGTATAATTCATTTTTAAAATGCTAGTATGCCAAATATATTTGATAAATTATTTTGCATGTCTGTGTGTTTATTAATGACTTAAAAATTGAATAATTTATTTTTTCCTGATCATTTTGATAGGTGTTCACGATTCAAAAATATATTCTACCTCTTATCCTTAAAAAAGAACAAATAAATATTGAATTTACTTTTCATGTTTTATAAATCTATATTCTGTCACCACCAAATATCAAAATTGACAGAAAAGAAACATTATAGTGCTATTGTTAAGATCATTTAGCTGCAGAACTGTAGTGTTATGGTTTTATATTTTAGTCTTTGACCATAACGCTACTATAACCAACCTGTATATTTACCGTTTATAGTAGTCTCTACAGGCCAATAACTCGTTATGCCATCCGACAACAAATTAACAACAGGCGAGTTTATTCAACTGGTCTGTAGAGACGACTATAAAGGGTTAGGAGGTGGATAAAATATACAAGTTGGTTATAGAATGTGTCTAGAATTAGGGGATGAAAGGTCGATAATTGACCAAGTCCAATGCTGGAGAGTGGCGAAATATATCCTTACGTGCGCAGAAAATCTTGCGCCGTAAATTGCACTTAATTTACATTACGGGATCTGTAGCGTTATGGTCAAAGACTAAAATATAAAACCATAACGCTACAGTTCTGCAGCTAAAGATCACCAAATGCATTGCTTTCTTTTATACAGAAATAACTAGGATTGATTGATAATATATTGAAAATAAGGAAAACATAATACAAATTGCGATTTTATTCAATATGTATGTAACTGTAACAATGTTATGTAAATAAAAAATCAAACAAAATAAATAAAGATTTAACAAAAACAATATCTTATCACAGATAATATCATCGTTGCATTTTTATTTGGTAACTGTCATGATAACTATTTATCATGATAGTGTCGCAGCTTTTGGGGTTGTACAGTTGCCAAACAGTTGTGAATTCTTCACTTTGGAAGGATGTCATGTCACCTTTATTCCTGCTGTTGAGGAATACGTTTTGCTAGACACACCCTTAACACTGTTTGTGAAACAGTGGTTTACCGACGGATTATTCTCGGGTAGTATGCATTATGAGTAGATATCTCTACTTTATCAGAGCTTTGTTACAAAGTCAAACGATTCATCGTACATTGGAGGTGGAGAGTTTTGGCCGCTAGAGGGCGAACTGCTAACAGTTGATACAGTGTCATCAATAGTACCGTCCATAGATTCCAAATCATCAATAGAACCCATTGTGTCGTAGGTAGCAACTGTGAAAATATCAGAAAAGTCCACAGACAGTGCGTCGTTCGAGTACTGACGTCCGAATCTCTCTACAGAGGCGGTGTCATCAAGCTCATTCATCATCTCTTCGATAGGTTCCAGTGTTGTCATTGGGGCTACAGAGGCTGGCCTTCGTGATTTCTTCTGTCTCTTTCTCTTTTCAAATCGTCTGCGAAAATATCATTTTACAATTATCTCGAAATTTAAAGGACATTGTATGGGATTAACAATGCGGGTTGGTGGTTGAAGTACAATTACTTACTTTTCTGGGACTATTTCCAAAAATAGTTGGAAGAAGACGGTGAAGTAATCTATAAATGTAAACATAATTGTAAAAGTTTTGAAAAAAAAATACATTGTTTAATCATATGAAAATTTTCCTTTCGTTAATTCATACTCTTTCATGTCAAAAATATACCAATACTTCACGGGTACAGATACTGACTTCTTAACCAATGTAGAAAACGCAAAAGTTTGAAAGTTAGAGGGGAATTTCGACAATAATTTCATCTTTAGTTCGGAGAACAATTTTTAAAAAATCGACATTCTTGTGTAATAGCATTCCAGTTTACCCATTAAATCCGATATAAATATAACGTTTAAAATAATACAAGTCACTATACGAACTGTAGGTTTCTCGTATAAAGGGGCATGTCTATTTGATCTAAAATTAATTTCCTTTACAGTTCAGATACGAGGAGTGATCAAAAAGTTCGCGAACTATCTCTATAATTAGAAAACCACAATTCAGATCAGAACGAAATTTGGCACACATATAGTCATACATATGTTCTATAAATAGGAGATTATATTTAATTTTTAGCCAATATGTAGGTGCTTTGTGACAAAAAATGGTTCACTCAGTCTTACTCGAGCAACGAACGGCAGTAAAGTTTAATGTATCTCTTGAAAATTCCTTTGCAGTAGCATATGATAATTTGTACAAGGTTTATGAAGACAAAACACTTGCCAGAATTTCAGTCATTTATTGGATTGATTGTTTTAGTGAAGGAAGAGAGATGGTTAAAAATGATAGTTTGTTCTGTTGCCCAATGAAAGCAAGCTGGGGAAGAGATATGTCTTTAGTTGAGCAATTTGTTATGAGAGATCGCCAAGTAACAGTTATAAAAATAGTTGAATATCTTAACAATAATACAATTATTAAAGCCCTAAGGTATCGTTTACTTTAGACCTTAAACATATCAAATATGATAAAAAGAAGGCACCCATACTATATTCATATTGGATAAACGATGTTCCTATGACAGAGGACTATGGTTGTGATGGTCACCATGCTCATTCTGGGAAAGGACATCCTTATCACCATCCTATTTCAATAACTTACATGGTAAGAAATATAAGACTCAGAAAAATCAACAGAACGTCACGGAGCATGTCACGTGACCGACTGAATCACGTGATTCGCGCATGGACAGAACGGTGGCAGATGTGCATTAAAATCAAGAGGGCTACTTTAAAAAATAATGAACACTGAAAGCTTATTTTATTTCTTTTATGGAATGAAATATATGGAGATAACGAACAGTATTCAAGCTCAAAAGTCCATTATACAATACAAAATAGGAGCAGAGCAAACACGGACCTCCAAAACATCAGAGGTGGGATCAGGCGCCATGGAGGAGTGAGCATCCCCTGCCGACCGGTCACACCCGCCGTGTGCTCCTTGTCATGATCGGGAAATAACGGAAAAATCCGTCGACAATTCAGTGTGTAAATAATGGAAGTAATTCAATTCGTTCGCGAACTTTTTGATCACCCCTCCTAAATCTATTATTAGAAAACCTCAGTTTTTAGTTTTGCTCAACTAAGTAACCGTTTTTCAATGAAAATTTTCAAACGTGTTTAAACCTGTTATCTTTTTATTCCAATTCCATCTGACTAGTGGCACGTAAAAGACAATGGCGGATCCTGCTACAGCCAAGGTGAAAATAAACTCTCCCTTCAATGGATATATGGTAAAAGGGGCGATAACCAGGTAGCCAGCACCGAGAGTGACGAAAACGGGGATCAGTATGTTGACCTTCAAAATTAAGAAAAAAAACGCTCCCCTTTTTAACGTCTTTCTTATCATTATAAAAAGAAACATCTTCATACAAACTACTCACAATAGTGTGACAAATAAAATGCAGATTTGTTTTTAATTCAAGAAGAATTTTACTTTATAAGGTCGAGGAAGATGGGGTTTTCGTATTCTCATAACAATCAAGCCAAAAATTGCGAGTCCATGGAATAGCCAGACCGTAAATATCCAAAAATGGACCATAAATTGGGAGGAGAAACAGGTGGCCATCACAATGGCTGCAACAGCCTGAAATTAGAAAATTTTTGTTGATTAACAGAGTAATAGGTAATTACATGCACCCATATGAATAAATCAAACTGTAGCAGCCATTTTCACAATTTACATTAGATATACTATTATCTTACTATTTTAGTATAGTATAAAAGTAATAAATACCCTCATTATAATTGCAGGAATATGGCTCTTGGTTCTAATGTGTCTGTACGTTAAAAATTCTGGCACATACCCATCCTCAGCAGATATAGAAGAAAGTCTTCAAAAAACAAAGATTAAATATCTTATCAAATCATATGGAGTAAGTTGTTCTCTGATATCACAATATATATTATTTTCATACATTGTAATGGGTTTTATCATTGGTTCGTTTGATATCATGTGTCAAAGTATAGAAAAGCAGTTACACAGGGTCTTCCTAAATATAAACATAAAAACTCGAGTAGACCTGTCCTTTCTAGTAACAGATTGGGGAAGGTTTGTAATGTATAAGAATGGACCTGATTCGCTGTCGTATGTCAATCAAACCAATCAGAATTCTTTTCCAGTTAATGTGAATAATCAGCGAATACTCGGATTGACCGGTACCTTCTTACAACTGATTTTATTGCTTTACATTTTGACAATTTTCCTTTGAAAAATAAATGTAACGAATGTCACCTTTGTAGAAAATATTACAACAAACGTAGACCCTTTCATTCGATCAATCCATAGATATATCGACTTCACAGAAAAGTATATTGACCTCACACTTCTTGCTCGGTCGATATGCAATATATCTATGATCAACCTCACTAAAGGTCTGTATTTGTATAATGATATAAATGTCTTTCTAAAACTGACTTCTATCGCTTTCCTTTAATTTAAGACACTTTGGATGACACCAATCTTACCTCCCTGATGCAATAATTGTGTTATTAGCATTCCCAAGGGCCACGAAAGCAACCCCTACGGGAATCAGAAATCCTGCTTCACCTAGCATTTTTCGTCCCCACATCTACAAAAATCAAAAGAAACATTCTTTCTTAAAGATGTTAATATATATGCGCCATCGTTGTCGAAACTCTTCTTTTACTGTATCTTTTGAAACAACCCGTTTATAATTTGCTACTCATCACCGACTCAGATTGCATACTGCCTTCAAATAATAGCAATGTTTAAACGTTTAAAGAAAACTTACGACTCCAAACCAATGGTTAGCCGTTATTTCTTCCCGAGTCAAGACTGTAAAATATGACGTCACTGTTGACAGGTAGATTATCATAACCGTGGGAATCACAATTTTCACCAGACGCGGAAGGTTTCTGGAAAATAAAGAAAAACAGGTTAACCTATATTGAGGACATATTGGTGAAATACGTTGGATGTCAAAAGACACTGTCAGATAACATTTTGAAGAAAAAATTCCTTCGAAATAAAAGGAGATTTTTATGAAACAAAAATATTAAAAAATGCATTCTGAACATAAAATATGTTCAAATGAAGTCTTTGGTACAATGTGTTTTCCTTGAACACTCCACTCGTTGAAATGGTATTTCCAATCTCATACCTCATCTTTTGTGTGGCTTCACCTAGATGGAATTCATTCCTATTTCTATCAACAAAATGCTACTTAAAAGAGAAAACAATACACGTATATGTAATAGTACGGTGCTTAAGGGTAAGCAGAGTGCAGGGGCACCAGTCTGGTTCCCTAGCCTACTTACTTGGGTGGTTTTCTGACCCCCGCTGTGACAGAAGGGACATTTGACCTGAAAGCACACAAATTAAAAACACCTTACGTTACGTTCCTAACATAGTATTCGCCATAAAGGCGCAATACCCAGCCCTTTATCCGGGCATGTCATAGGATTACAGGCAACCTACCATCCGCCATAGGCCCACATAGAGTTGTAGACGGCAAAGACAATGTGACTGTGGAATGTCTCCGTATCCTCAAAACCTTCATCCAGGGCTCCAGTTTTCCCTGTTTGTAAAGAATGATTCCATGAGAGAAAAAATATGTTGCTTACGAAAGCGTATTAGTGCTACGTAATTTTTTTAATTGGTAATTCCAACTTCAAAGTTGGCTTCTCCAACTTTAAAGTTGGTAATTCCAACTGTGAAGTTTGGTAATGCCACTTTATTCTTGGCTTTTCCAACTTTAAAGTTGATAATTCCAACTTTAACTTTGGCTTTTCCAACTTTAAAGTTGGCTTTTCCAACATTAATTTTGGTTTTTCTAACTTTTTACGGCTTCATGCGTTTTATTCGTATACATTGTAGTGGACTCGTATTGTTGTTTTATAAATACAGTGGAAAGAACCGGTTTAATTATAAAATTGTGATGAAAGTAGGAATAATTTTCATTTTGTTTTCATATACAGAATTGGTACATCTAGTACAGTTGTCTTAGAAACATGAAAATTGTGTTGATTCATCCTAATATCGAACACCTGATATGATATGATCTCATTAGCTTAAACTTACTCTCAACAAGAAGATACATACATCAAATTGTTGAGAGTTGGTAATAATTCCTACCTTAAAGTTGGTAATTCCAACACTTAGCTTTTTTTTTAATTTAATATTATTATCAACTTTATTATAGCAAACTAAATACACTAAAACAAATTGGTTTCCAATTAAACTGCGTCAATTATTTTGACCTTGGCCTTTCCTATGACCTTGTATATAATTTCCAGCTTTAAAATCCCTAATATATCTCTTGGTCCATCTTATATAATTTTATAGGGTATAACTTCATACGACTCCGTAAAGTAAAGTTTTTAGTTTGCCATCAATGTAATTTTCTTGTAAAACATCCATGTCAGATAATATTCAAGTAATAATTCAATTCAGTTTATTGACAACACCATGTTGGCATACTATTTATACAAGTAAATGATAAGTCATTCAGCATGAAAATAAATATCAGGAGATAAGAAAACTTAAAAAAAAATCACCTGAAGAAATGTTATAAATTCCGCAGACAACGATGGTACCAATGGTGATTATTTTGGCCAGGTTTGACACCGATATCATCTGCCTTGCCAACTGGACATCGTATGCATTAACAATTGACAGAGTTACTACAAAAGGGATGATTCTGGATTATATAAAATTATTAATAAAGAAGCGAAGAAAACACAATTAATTTATCAGAAAATACTAGTATTATATAAACAAAATATAATTAAAACATAGAATCTAGTATATGCTTCACACCAAACAAAGAGTTCTACACCTACATATTGCAATGATCGCCAACAACTTGTGCAGAATTTCAGGAGGTCCACAATCATCGGCTAGTGAATCACAAATGTAGCTAGCGAAAGCTTTGGCGAACACCGCAGTCGTACAGGGTTCGGCGGCACCGATGCGCATCCATGTGTAAATGAATGCAGGAAGAGGTCCAAACGCTTTGTGTATGTAACCATATTCGCATCCTGCCCTTCTCACAAATATTTGAAGCTCGGAAAAACAAAGGGCAGCTAAAATGAATAAAATTTGAATGTTTTAATGAGAAAACTAGTGAAACTTTTTTACGTTTAAAGTTGACCATTTCAATTTTCATTCAATTTTATCCTCTTTGTGTTGTTGTTGTTGCCTAAGTATGCCTTGATGAATATGAAAAAAAAATACTTCTTTTTTTTTTTTTAAAGTTAATATATTTTGCAAAATATGTTAACATTACTGTAACTTTTATTTCTGAGTATATAATTCTTAGAATGAATTCTAGCTTTCTCATACGGCACTGTATGCTTTTTATTTGCATGGAATTCACTTTTATTGGTTGTTACCTTGTAAAACTCTTGCTTTTGCTAATTACAACTCTTGTTTTCCGTTCCTAATGGAAACTAATCTCTATACAAATGTAATTAATACTAATATCTAATGTACGATAATTCCTAGTTTGAAAGATCAAACAATGAATAGGTAAACAGGGTATTTAAGAGTAGTGTAATGCTGCACACCTTAAGAAAACAATTTCAAGGTCACTTCAAATCGACTTGAGGTGAACATTCAGACATCTGCTATTTTGATATGGGTTATCTGTCATCTGTCTCCTACATAAATTGACCAAGGAGGTCCCAATGTTTGCCAAAGACAGAAAGCATCCCCGGTGATAGAAAAATTAACTTCTTGTTAGGCAAAAAGGAACTATTGCGGGTAATTTGAGTTCTCTATTTAATTCGGTGTTTACTCAAGGAAGATCCACTGATAACCTAATATTTTCCTGTTAAGGACAAAAGGGTTGATAGGAAACAAGTAATGAACATCAATTGAACACGAGTGTAAACAGAAGAGTGGAAAAACTCTAGCATGGAAGGAAACTCATTCATAGAGCTGTCGGGTATACTTCAAAAGAATTGACTGCTTCCTAGCTCTTTAATAGCTTTCAGACGTATTGTTTCTACAGAAAGCCGATTAAACAGTCGTACATATTTGGATGGAAATCTATTCTACCTTTAAGATAATTATGTTATATTCAAATTATTCTAAGAAAGAAGGAAATGTTCTGCAACCCAACATTAACAAACCTTTCATGAATGATAAACACAATAAGCCTTGTTATAGATCTGCCAGATATACTATGATTATGAAAACGTGAGTAAAGAAAAACGTGACATGCATATAGTATAAGTTGATAAACCTTTTAATAGTATCTTGATATTGGTCCTAGATCGAAAGAGCGAGTAAATGGTTTGCATACTTTAAGTTACTAAGCTTACATGAGAAATAAAATCCTTTCTACTTTCATCTATTGAAAAAATCTCATAGTTAAAATTATTTCATCAAGTTTATTGGATTAAATTACAGTAAAATTTACTCAAACTTAATTGTGTTTGTGTGTATTTTCTTTTAATTTTGTGTATAAAATTAGGCAATAAGACAAGTCTTCTTGTTTCAATAAGACAAGTGATTAGTTTTCAAAACATACATGAATATAGTTGAACTCTGTACTTTACAGTCTGGGATTTGGTGCTTAGTCTGGGATTTGGTGCTCTTAAACCTCTAAAATCGAATAAAGGAAGCGCAGTCGCAGGAGTAATCAAGCGTACAGGTGTCTATCATATAAATTTCTCAAAAGCCTTTGTTCTAAGTGTAAACCATAACTAACCACAGTTCTCTGAACCCTTCGTTCATAGTGTAAACCATAAACTAATCACAGCTCTATTTAACTCACAAAGTAGAAGGAGGTAATGTATTCAATATAGGTTGCATTTCCGCAAAAAAGAATTTCAGAATAGATTGAAACGATTTTAATGATGTCTACTGCAAAGGGTATCTTGGTCATGCAGATTCTATGAAATTATGTCAGATACCCATTAAGTTTCGGATGCTGGGCGAGACGTTGCATTTTTTTTATTATGACTCCTACTTGACTCCATGATATCTCAGAAAGTTAGGAATAGGTTGGGGTTTTTTTAATTAAATTCAGGGTTTGACAAAGATTCGATGAGTTCTTGAGTGGGATTGGGATACTGATGCTGAACAGAAAAATAAATTTCAGTACTTATGCTTGACTTACGGTAGGATATGTTTTTGTTATTTATTGCATAGGGGTCTGTACGGGGCTCGCTTTATGAGTGCCTTCTACTTTTAATATTTTTGTGTCCAAATCAGAGTGTTATTAAAGTAGACATGAGTATGCACTTTAATATCAAGCTGGCAATAATCTGAAAAAAGGAGATAAGTGTAATCAATCAAAAGGTCCGTATCAAAAGTTTATTTCACTGTCACAAAAAATTCTTCCCAGCAATCTCTTATACAAAATGTGAATGGGTCCCATTAACATTTAGTGTGCTAAAGATACTAATTATCTTAACAGATTATTGCAAGAGAGACTTACAAAATTTGCATAACGCAAATTTGATTTGATGGATGAAGGACTTTCTATGGGTAAAGTTAAACATAAATGATGTCCCGAATCTGACGAAACCCGACAGCAGAGTTTCAATACTGTATGGAACGTTTTTATACAAGTAGCAAAAATGCCTCACAGATCCAAATGATAAATAGAAGATTTACAGCAACTTGGAAAAACTCACATAGATAAAATCTGAGTGCTTCGATAGATTTAATGAAAAGAAAAAAGAGACATTCCAAAAGTAAGGAAAACAACAAAGAAATCAATTATGAATAATGAAATATTCACCATGATCGGAACAGCACTAAGCATTTCAATTCACCTATGCAATATGATTAAGCAAAGACTTGCAAAAAGAAATACAGAAAAACGCCACTCAGAAATTATGGAAGATTTGACTTAGAGAAAAGCGGGTAAAAAGAAATACAGGCCAAATATAATGAATTAAAAATATTTACTAACTGAAAATATTACTTTGACTGAACATTTTGAGGAAAAGACCTATAAAAAAAAAAGTAAAAAAAAAATCAAAACAAATCCAAAATAAGAAGGCAAAATATAACAAGGAGAGAACAGAACTGTTTTAAGTTAGACTTACTAAAAAGGAGGAAATATCACGTTAATCCGAGATGATGAACATTATACTTACCACAAGTTGAGAAAATACCACACAGAGCCCATATAATGAAAGTAAGACCAACAGAGCCAGCCCCAGATACCACGTTCTTAGGAGAAGTAAAGATTCCGGGTCCTGAAAAATAGACATGACAATCAGAGTTCATGTACTCGTGCCAATAATATAGGGATTTTATATTATATAAAGGATTCAAAAAAAAATTATTATAAAAATTATTAAAGAAAAATTAGAGTGTGTACATGTACTTGATTTAATAACTATGATGTTGAACTAGAGCTCATTTGACATCTATTTTTTAATAATGATATCTTAGACTTAAAGATGAAATACTAGTATATCATGATCGTGTACGCTCAGAGTTTATATGTAAATAATCTAAATCAACATCTATCGCAGAAAGTCAATAAAATGACTGATAAAGTGGATGAGTGACTGGACTTTGCTATATGATATAGTATTAACATACCACAGCTGTATGTGTAGTATTTTCAATTTAAATTTTCTCATGCGTATGTTTTAGTTTCATTAACATACAGAATACATCCGTTACAAACCTATGACTGTCTGCATGATAAGTGACCCTCCCCAGAATATTCCTATTTCTTTGAGACTGAAATGCCATTCTTTCTTCACTCCTTTGGGGGAGATAGTTGTTCCAATAAGGTCTGCAGACCCCCGTCTCTGGGTTGTAACCCAGATGGACACATCAAGGAGGTCAGTCTGGGTACAGGCGCTGTTTTTGCGGTCAGCTGTAAAAAAAATTGTAGAAGATTCTTTTAAAATATATTATGGAAACTCGATGGTAAAAGGTAGTAATACAAAACCTCTTTTCTCATGGAGATTATTAGGAGAAAATATACATTAATTGAATGATTGGACATATCAAAGTATCTCGTAAATGGTAGATTTTTATAGAGATGATTATATTGCTTAGTTCAATTAAACATATTTTCATCTAATCTCTTAAAGTAGTCTTATAAAATTCTCTTTGTGGTTTGAAACTTGAACTATCAATCGAGTGGAAATTGATCAAATTTTCAAAATTTATTACATTAATTTAAAAATGTATTAGAAATTTATATTTTCAGTCACTGAATTCTAGCAACTGGAGATACTACTATCCATGGGAAATTTGACTTTGATCAAATGTCATATCTTTAATTTTTTTTTTTTTCAAATACAAAGCTACCAGTACTTTCTACTTTTATATATTTCTTCATTTGCGAGAATTCTACCTAAAATAATATCTTCCTAGTTGTAAGAATTTTATTTTGTATGCTTAATTGATTTCTTTAAATTTCTATAATTATTTTCTCAAAAACTGGTTCATCTCATAAGACTGATAAGGAATGTACTTATATTTAAACAAAAAATACCTCACTTAAATTTTATATCACACGTACATGTATAAAATTATATATCGGTACTTGTATTTACTGCATTTGAATGCACTCTTTATAACAACAATTAACAATTTTCATATCCACTGCATGTGGCATAACTATCTTCCACATGGGAAAATTCTAATCATAGATATTCGTAATATTTTAAAATCAAATAAAAAATTTTCTTCATACTGGATTTAATGTTTAAAATATTGTCAATGATAGCAATCTGTTGGCTTAAGGACAGATGATACCAAAAAAAAAAAAAATGGATGCCTGGATTGAAATATATTTTTAGACCTATTTCAGTTGTAAATGATGCAAATAATAAATTCTAAATTATTAAGAAATTGTAAACTTTCTACGATATTCAAAATTCTACCTTTTTGCAACCATCCTTATTAATCTATACAATTTTTTGTCACGTTAAATCCCATTTTTGTGAAATTAAAATCTATGCGGTTATACTTTTTGCATTTTACTTATATAAACATGACTTAAGTTGTTATTTTCAAGATTTTGATAAAAGTTTGTTTGTATCATCTGTCCTTAAACACAGAACATTTTTGACATGTATTGTTGATATTCATAGTTTATCTTTTATTTAATTCAAGCTTCCAGAAAAGTGTTAAAAGTAAATATATCTCAAGTGCCGGGTTTGCATTTAAACCCAACGTTTCCTCTCTGAATCTTAGCAATGAAAAGATTTAAATAAAACAGTCAATGGGATTGATCATTAGAGATCAAGATAACGTACTATGAATGGGATTGTGGGGAAAAACCAATGGGAGTGAACTCCACTACTCCAGTAAGCATGTGTAGACCTTAGGAATTATTTTGGCAAAATCTCCTTGAAAATCGTGTAATAAAATATTAGCTATCTACAAAACTTTTTTAAATTTCTAATGTTTTCAAAAAAAAATTAAGTCTCGTTTATTTATGCATAAACAATTGTCAGATATTATAAAGTGTGTTTTTAAAGTAAGAGATGAAGCACTTCAATTTCTCACAAATATATTATTTCATGAAATTGAAAATATATTCTTATTCTATTGTTTGCATTATTTTATTTAATTTCTAAATGAACTCGATTTATATTTATTTCTTTGTATATACATATGTATGTGTGCAGTTTTGAAGTAATGATGATGAACAATAAGATATTAATGTCTTACCTATGTTTCGTCTCATGCTGGGTGTACAACTGATAAAGATAATTGAATGTCCTTTCTTGTTTATTTATGTCTCTCTTCAATTATCACACACTTCCTCCCCGTAGGAAGGCCCCGTTAGATAACGTGTCTCCCTCCAAATTTAACAGTGACCAAAACAGATGTCATATATATCTGCATATCAATTTTTGCTAAATGTTCCTTAGATTATAAACCATTTCACTGACTCCATCGTTAACTTCTAATTTGAGGACTACATTTTAATTTTCTGTTTGAAAAGATTGTCTGATCTGTGGACAGCTTCTACATTTTATTAAAATTTTGAAAGTTTAATTCAACCCATAGAAACATATGTGGGAATTATTATTATTATTATAAAACTTTCAAATCTGTTAATATTAGAATAATTTCTTTTTCTTACAATTTTTCATACAATTTAACGTCCAAATATGCCTAAAATTTTCTCAAATACATCCTGTACATATTTTTTTTAATCTTTGACATTTTATTGCCTCAATTTGATCCAGCTTCTGATTGATTGATTTGTCTCAAGAAATAAATTCGAATTATTCCCAAGAACTGTTGCAAAAGTATTGATAACTGTTTCCCTTTAATATGCACACATGCTTGGACCTTCTGTGGACGTTGTAGTCCACTTCTAGATCCAAAAATTAGACTAAGATATTGACACTGAAATGAAATTTTTTTAACTTTGTTTCTGCAATATTTTAATTTAATTATTGTATATTTCCTTTTGAATTGATTAGTTGTTATTATGAAATTTTTGTTTTGTACTCTTAAATATTCTACAGTCTAATTAAATACCATTTAACCTATTTCTTCCGATAAGATATAGTTCTTGTTTGTTGTGTTTTAAACAAAACGTGTGTCAGAAAAACGAGGACACTTATTAGCTTTAGTTGTCCATTAACTCAAAGCCAATAATCCAAGACAAACTATGATAACAAAACAATAACATTCCAGGAGGTTTGTCATAGAATATTTTGCTGTTTTTTTTTAAGTGCCTGATGAAAGGTCAATTCATGAGTGTCCTAGAAATTGAAAGAATTAAGTACATGTACTCGAAATACGTTGAAAGAATTAAGTACATGTACTCTAAATACGTAGCATGCTGCTCAAGAAAGCAGTTTTCGTTTATTTTAAATTGCGTTCACTAGTAATTTAACTGACATAAATGCATCACTCTAAAAACTGAACCAGGACAACTTCATCAATCCTTTCAAAGTGATTTATCCATAACTGAGAATTTTTTTTACAGGTGATTTCAGTTGGAAATACGGTTGATATCTGTTTACATATCAATTTCAAGGAAAACATTAATTTAAAAATGTAAATGAAGATATTTATTACAAAAGCACATTGCTAACAAAGATATCACGAATATTCCTTGAATCCGGCGCCACGATTTTCATTAAGTAAAATCTATTTGCATGAGTGTAAAATGAAATGAGAGAAATTTTGCCGTTGCCTAAAATACGATTGGTTTTAAAATTATCTTAAATTTACATGTATATGTGTATATTCTTTACAAAAAAAAATCATTAATGATCCAGTCCTAGGGTCATATGAGACAAAGAAGTTAAATCTTTACAATAAGCAGATTCTTGTACATGTATTACAGAAATGTATGTTTTGTAAGACATGCCGCATATCTAACAGAATTTTTTTCTATAATTTACCATGCCAATCTTTGACTCCAGTTCATACCATATCCATACCCAGGAAGCCACAATTTGATATAATTTACACCACATTGGAATGTTTACTGTGCACTACACTGGAATGCTTACACAGTAATTGATGTTCTGATGTTCTTTAGCAGAAAATCTTAAGAGCTCTGAGCCACCTATGACCTATTCTAACTATGGGACCATGATTGACCAAATTTGAATGCTACATGGGGATACTTGTACATTTATTGATCATATCCTGTTTTTTTAAGATTATTAAAGATTTACTTCCAATATATGCCTTCTTAAACTTTTACCACCTTTTGTGGCTAATTTCTGGCCCCGACTATTAATTCTTATACACATTTGCATTTGACTACTTTGGTCTAGATGTTTCTGAAAAGAAAAGCTTCAATTTTTTCTTTCATATTTATTTCTTAGTACATCGTTAGGTGTACCATAGAGACCTATACATCTGTTTCATATTTTGGATTTGGATGCTTTACTAGAGAATGATGCCAAACCAACAACTCTATGAAAAAAGTGATGACTTCAAATTCTCTATCGTCAAATTCTCTTATCAATATACCATTATCACTTGCATATGGTACCGGTGTTTATGTCTCTCAAGTGACTCGATACGCAAGAGCATGTTTTATATATTTCTAAACCGTGGTAGGCTACTGACAAATAAGTTGATGATACAAGGGTATCAAAATCTCTTATAAAGTGAACAAATTCTATGGTCGATAATGGCTTTAGAGATGTAAACAACATATTGGCTGAAATGTTTATTGGGAGTGATGTCATTTATTGAAATAAATACATGTGCCTAGAAAACACAGAGAATTTATGAGTATTTAGGCTTAACTTTTCTGTCATGTTTAAATACTAATAAATGTTAAATACAGATCAATTGTAAATTTTGAATTGACCAGGTGACAGTCATTTACAATTTTCACAATCAGAAAAAATTTATTTATTGTCACTTGGGACGTTCAAAATATCACCTTGTGACACATATTCCTAATACTGCATGTACATTTTTCGATCTCTCGAGATATTTGTTCAATTTTTGGAGTAATTAGAGTAGAAAGGTTTCCATGTCAGTCTTTTATTCAGCTGATAATGTGCCAACTCTCCCAGCGAAGATTAAATAGATCCTGGGAACTTTCCTTAAAAAGCAAATTTCTGTATGCATTTTTCGGTTGGTAGTTTTATCCGGAAAACTAGTTCATTTCTTAACTGGGTTACCTAATAGTGCACCGTAATCATTTATCTTTCGAGACCTAGTAGCAATAAAATCTGGAGGTAAATTATGTAATATGTTATAGAATAAAGCTAAAGTCTGTATATTAATCACCACATCGGTTGCATTGTGCATCTTTAATTAGGTTCTGCTGTTTGTATTCCCATGAGGATGAGCCTTTCTTCGCTACATAGTACATATGAATATTTTTTGTACCGTACGGCAACCTTGACCTACATCAAAGTACAAGTATCGTGTACTGTTCCGATTGACGATGATTTCAATGCACTATCTTCTAAATAAATAAATTATGACGTAAAAAAATTGTAAACTGTAGCTGAGATATTTGCTGGTCCAGTATTTCACATACAGACCATAACAAACGTGATGACTTCATAGAACATGGCCTTAAAAGATGAGATCGACTCGGAATTAAAATTTAAAAAAAATGATCTTCTTATCAAACTAGACCTTAGATTATATTGTACATGTATGTATCTAGTGTGTGCAATTTAACCTGTCTCTCTTTTAAAACTGGTGCATATGGATTTTGTTCGTACCTCCGCAAAATATTACTCCACCTAAAGAGTTTGTTCGATTTGTAAATCTTGATGAAATAGTTGAGGATTTCAAATATTTAAATAGGCTTGATGTCTACAAATTGTAGCTTTTGTTCTATCTTCTAATTCTTTGTCAAACTTTGTTCCTCTGTTGTAGCCTTAAACTATCCCCAAAGGCCATGATTTGCAATGAAGAAAGTCATGAATGGAATTTATGCCATATGGGGATGTTTGCATATCAATTTGACTGATTATAGACCTGTTGTTCACGAGATTTTATAAAGTGTTTTCTCTAATATATATTCCTTTGTAAAACTTTGACCCTTTATTGTGGTCCAATCCTAGCCCTGAAAAAAATTGAATCAATAGAACATACGGGTGATTTCAAATTAAGTTGACTTATTATTACCTGTTGTTCTAGAGATGTTTTCCAGATATTTTTTCTACATATTCTAATGTAAACATCCCCACTCCTGCCTACTGCCTACGCCAGTCTACAAGACCATGATTAGAAGACAGTTGTATCTACATTACAAGTGGACGCTTGCATTTTAACTTTACTACCTGTGGTCCTGTTGTTCTTGAAGATTTTTTTCTTATTTTTTCCCCCAAAGATATCACTACCCAATTTTTCTCTTCCCATTATGGTCCCATCCGGCTAGTTCTTCACAAATTTTATTTTACCTTGTTTGTGATTGCTTGCGATTTATATGACTAATTGTGGTTTTGCTGTTCTAAGGGATAATTTGAAAGATTTTTTTAAAAAAATATATTTTTAAAAAATTTGACTCTATATATATATTTGGCAATAGGGATCACGCATGATTTTAACATCTACACTTAAGGGGAATGCTTGCAAGCTTCTCCGTAATTTCCATTTTCAACATGTTTGGAGGCCTTGGCATGCATGTACATGTATGGGAAACTAAATTAATCATTGTTAATTAGAAATACAGTAAATAAATTAAAATACAAATACTAGTTTATTTCCCGAGATTTGTATTATACTCATTCACGTAAATGTGATGGGGGGGGGGGGGGGGGGTAAATTTCTAATTTTCTCAGTAATGCTAGCAATGTCAGACATTTCACCTATTACGGAAACAATCATCATCAACACTGTTTACGTATTTACTCGCGTAATTGACATGATCTGGCGGTTGTTTGCCGGTAAACACTGGATAAGATATAAGTCCGCGGCTGATACTACAAAGGTTAGACAAGTGACGAGTCTTTTCCATTGAACACGTTTTTATTTGATTTCTGAATCTTATATATGCTAAGTAAACAGATGCTACATGATATAGTAATGATATATAAAATATATATATCGTGTCGAACTAACTGTTGCTCATGTAATTTAGACACCAGTTGCTTGAAACAATCTCCTGAATAAAAGAGCAATATCATTCGTGACCTTGCATAAGCGGATTCAAGGACAGGTGATACCGAAAAAAAAATGGATACCTGGATTGGTATATATTTTAAATTTGGACATATTTTGGTTGTAAATGATGCAAATAATAAGTTTCTAAAATATTAAGAAATTGTAAACTTTCTATGATGATCAAAGGTCAACCTTTATTGATATATACATTTGTTGTCACTTTAAATCCAATTATTGTGAGACTTTAAATGAAAAATTAAACTTATGGGGTTAAACTTATTCGTTTTACTTATATAAACATGACTTAAGTTTTCATTTTCAAGATTTTTGATAAAAGTTTGTATCATCTGTACTTAAAGGGGGGGGGGGGGGGTCGTACTTACTGTCGTTTATGTAACTTAGGCACCAATTGCTTAATTGAAACATTTTTTTTTCTGAATAAAAGAGCAATGTATTTTTAATGCATAGGCGGATTAAGCGGGGGGGGGGGGGGGGGGCAAGGAGGTCCTCCCTTCTTGAAAATTCCTTGATCCGTCCTTGTCTTTGTGTACATTCCACTAATTAATACTTCATATGTTGTATATATATATATATATATTTTTATTATAAAAAGACATATTAAATTATGGATTATCATACAAGAAGAGGGAAGAACAACAGTTCTGACCTATCTAGATAAAAGTGACGCATAATTAGATAATAGTCAAGGACATAAAGATGAAGAATATTTCTGTCCTCAGACTGCAAAAATCGGTACTCATGCAGATAATAAGTATGTTGTGAAACACAACCCAAGTTTGTTATGTTCATTAATCAAGACACATACCCTCTTGCCCTCTCTATTACTTATTTATTTAATTATTTGTTCTCTTATTTATGTTAGATATTTTTCTCATTTGTCCTTGAGAGGCCCAAAATTGGAAATAACAAATTTATCTACATACCCAAAGATAGGCCTACTGGACTTTTAAAGACGTTCCCCTGAATTTCTCCTCGGGCAATGACTAACAAAGCCCAACATGGAACGTGACACATGTGAGATAAATTTCAGCATTTGGTGAGGATTGACATTCATTATTATATTTATTAAGCTTGCCTCTTAGATGCTCAGGGATAAATAAAATTTTTTAACATTAAAACACATGTACGTGTTTAAACTTAAGAAAGGCATGGTATCCTGTTCTCCGTGTGTGTGTGAGGGTGTGTGTGTGTGTGTAATAACTTGAAAAACAAAGTTTGAGTTAATTTAGTGAATTCAAAACTTTATTTCGCAAGACATGGCAAAATATACACATATTGCACAACACAAGGAGTATACTGAAGGTATAACAGCGTATCATTCTCACACTAACAGTATAAAATCAAAGATAACAACTTCACATCCGCAAAAATAGTCAATGGAAAAGCGTGTTTGATGTGGCAACCACTCCAAAATGTAATGTATATGTACCTATTTTATTCCCAATTCAATGCAAATGCAAGTCTAGTATTATCGTATATTACTTTTTTATTTCGTGAAAACTTTATTTTTCGGAAATTACATGAGACCCTCTGCTTGCAAAAAATTGCATTCTCACGTATATTTCTATTATAATCGATTAAACACAACAATAGCCAAAATCTGTGTCTATTTTTTCATCCTTATATAAATACAAAAAATAAATATCTCAAGAAAATGTGTTGCAAAATATTTTTTGCATCCACAGTCATTTGCTGCAATCATGCAGCAAATCAATTTTTCAGAAATGTAAGAAAATATGAACTGGGCTATAATAAGTACACATACTCATAAAAGTTGTCAGACATGTGGTACATTGTAATCAGTTGTAATCAATCACATTTTTGCAATCAGATGTAATCAGAACCTTTACGCTACCTGTCCAGGAGTGTATTTATAATTAGTGACTTGTTAGTAACAAAAGAAGAATGCCAAAATATCCCAGAAAAGTAGTTCTTTCCAGGGATATGGAATGTACAATAAAAAATATCAACAAAATAAAATATATATCAAAACACTTGTTCCTCTAAGCCTTCAGGTAAAAGTAAGTAACAAGTATGGATTTCTGATCAATGTGAGTATTTGAGGACTAATGCAAACGCATGTGTTTATGAAACACAATGCACCCCCATGGATACAACATCCAAGGTGTTCATTCCCTATTAAATTTATTGAAAGAACTTTTAAAATCATCATCATTAATCATTAGAAACTGAAGTGAATTTTAAGAGGGCTGGGTGGTTGGGGCCATTTTCAGACTATATTGATCTCCTTTAGAAGAAGAGCTCCATATAAAGATATACAAAAAATGATCAAATTTTAAAACTAAAATGTATGAAATTTTTGTTTGCCAAATGATAGTTGACAGCTTAAGATATCATATCTAAAAAATTAAGTTATATCTGATGGTTAATTTGTTGACCCCCAGCCTCCTTAAAAGAGCATAAAAGGTCACCTAAGTGGTACATGTGTTTGTGTATTAAATACTTCTTAAAATATTTTTTATCGTATTTTTAAGGACTATCAAAGAAGAAAATCTTTCAATAAAAAAAAATCAAATTTATATGGTTTATGCTGTTGTAAAAGTTTGACATATTTAAATCAAAATGATTTATACTTCTTTAATCCACTTTCTAACATCTCTCCATCATTAAATGATGGCATTTAACTTAAACTGGAAAGTATTTTTCTACAAGTGTTTAAGTTAAATTGAAATTTTCAAAACTTGAACCAGAATACAAGACATTATTAGACAATTCCCTTGAAATATCAAATAAAATATGAACCCTGTTACTATATCTTGCATCTATAGAGTTTGATATGTTTTATACTATTTTTTTTACAAGATTTGTTTTTTAAAAACAGGCTGGTCAATTACAAGATGTTGAAAACTGGAGTAATACAAACAACAGTTATGATTGTCTTTGCATAAATATTTTCATAAATGTAATGCAGTCTGATTTACCAGCACCCCCCTACCCACCACATCCCCTGAAGAACACAAAGGATATACTTGAAAGGGGGGATAGACTAAAAAACCTACCTCAACCCTCTAGTGTATACTCTTGTAGTTAAAACAATAAATTCTTACTTCTTATATGACTGATAAGTATATTTTCAATCAGAAAATCAACATATATATACACTACAGACAAACACACAACCTCTTACTTATATGTAACATCTTTCTATAAATAAATATTCAAAAAAATTAAAAACTTTGGCACATATCTACCCTGATATATCTTGTTCTTGTTTTACCATAGATAATAATCAATATATTAACATCTACTTTTAAAAATTTGTTAACCTTTTCATAATACATGATAACAGTAAAACTTGTTTTAACCAGCCATCAATGGGCATAAAATTGTACCAGAGGAAGTTCAGACTGGAGAATTTTTTTTAGAAAAATATAAGTAATATTTTGGGACTAAAATATTTTGCCAGGATGCTCAACATCTGTAGCAAGTAAGTTTAACTGCATTACAATTATTTTAATTATGGGATACTGAAATATAAAGTTTTATAGTATACACTTCTTAAAAGCACTATTTAAATGCATCACGCTTTAGTAACACATACATGTATATTTACATGTATACCTGTTAAAAAAAAAAGTTGTATATACTACTTTTCTCTCCAGTTTCTCAAACAACTTGGTTAGTTTCATCATTATCAGCATATTGAAGGTCATTCAGCTCCAAGGTCGGACTTTTTTTCATTTTTTCCTCCAGCCTCTCTTCCATGTAGAATCCCATCAGGTCCTTTCTTGTGATGATGCCCTTGACCCCATTCATGTTGTCCACTACTGTCAGGTGTCGTAATCCAAGAGTTCGGAAAATAATGTATGTTCTCTGTAGAGAGAACTTCTCCTGGATAGATAATGCTGACTGATTTGTGAATCGTTGCTGCAACAAAAATATATCAGAGTTAAGAATGAACTAAGTTTAAAAACTACTTGCATATTGATTTTACAAGGAGTAGCAAGAAATAGAAACATGGATACTATGAATAGGTATAAAATCAAAAGTATATTTTATTTGGCAGTAAGTTTGTCGCATAAAAATATCAGAGGATTACTGCACACACAAAGGTAAGATGTACATTATGCCGGAGGAATATAGAAAAAATGTCGTAAGACAATAATACTAACCAGGTCTATGTAGAGTTTGCTATAACGAGCATCAGAGACATACTTCTGCAGCATCAGGGAGGTGTCATGAGGATCTACCAGTTTGTGGACATGCAACTAGAAACATAAATATAAAACATAATTCTCAGTAGAAACTCTAGTTATAGCTCATGTAAATAAAAGAATTTCTATGTACCGGTATTAGCAAATTTTCTTTTATTGTAAAGCTGCTCATATGTTTCAAACAAGAGGTCCTAGGGCCTTAATAGTCACCTGAGTATGATAAAACCCTGTAAAGGATCCACAAAATGGCAATTTGACAATTGTATAATAGAGCAATATATATGCATACATGGGAGGAAAAGAAGATTTTTCAGAGAAATAATGCATTTTCACTGTATGACCAATTGAGCCTTCAACACGGTTCATGAACTTTGGTAAAGGGCTCAGTGCTTATTACAATCATACCAAATTTGATTGCTTGATGTCCAGGAGTAGAGAAGATTTTTGAAGATTACATTAATTTTGATGGTTTTTTGGCCAAACCCTCAGGCTGGGGGGGGGGGGGGGGGGGAGGCAAGGACCATTAAATTCATAATTTTTGTTCAAACTAAATTGACTAGTTTCAGAGATGAAGCTGAATTTCTTCAAAAGTTATGAATGACAGATGACGAATAATGGAACAACAGATGAAAACAGATTGCAATAGCTCACCTGAGTCACTCGAAAAAAATAACATTTACGACTTTTTTATGTACCGGTAATTCTATTTCTAATCAGAATTTTTACTTTTAAATTTGAATAAAAATGTGCTATATTGCTGTTTTGGAAACAAACTTGTTAGAACCTTTTCTAAGTTACATTATAATTTCAAAGATCATTTCATAGTTAACTCATACTTTGTCATATTCAACCCAGGAAGGTCCGTCGTCATCCAGAGTTTCCTCTGTATCATTCTCTGATTTGAATAAACACTCTGTCTTCAAGAGAACTATTATCTCCATCCTACCAAAAAAAAAGTTTATAATACTTAATTTTCTCCTTGCATTTGTGTAAAAAAGGGGACAAAATGAGCTTAAATAATTTCTTTTTAAGGTCATGGGATACTCATCATACTACCAAGGGTTAACATTTGAACAAACCTGAAGGGGCCCGATTTAAAAGAGAACTTACGACTAAGACCAAAATTTAATTCTGCGTATAACTTTTTAATTCAAATTATATTGAAAATAGTTTTAATCTTTTTAAAAGGAATGTACTAAGATATTTATACGCTAGCAATTTTAAACAGAATCATTGATTTTGCAAAATTTTACAATCAACTTAAGTTTTTGGTTTTAGTTGTAAGTTAATTCTTTTGTAAAACGGGCCCCTGAAGCTACACTACCTACGGATGCTTCTATTTCAATATGACTAATCATTGCTTTGCTGTTCTTGAGAAGATTTTTAAAGATTTTCTCCATATATTCCTATGTAAAACTTTGATCCACCATTTTGGCCCCACCCTAACCCCAGGGTCATGAATTGAACAAACTTGAATCTACACTATCTGAGAATGCTTCCATTTCAATATGACCAATCATGGCTTTGCTGTTCTTGAGAAGAAGATTTTTTACTATATATTCCTATGTAAAACTTTGACCTCCTATTATGGCCCCACCCTACCCCAGGGTGTCATGATTTAAACAAATATGAATCTATACTATGTAATGGAGATTTCACATTTCAACTTTTTTGGATCAGTGGTTCTTTAGAAGGAGATTTTTAAAAGATGCAACCAAATTTTCATGAATTCTTAATTATCTTGAAAGAGGGTGTGGCCCTTCATTTTTGTTGAGTAGAAATGCAAACAAATACTTCTTTAAAATCATAAAATCCAGAAATAGAAAATTTATAGAAAAACTTGTTTTAAAATGTAAACTTTTGTACCAAATGACTCATCTGGTTATATTTCATAGTATATTTTAGCAAATTAAAACATAATATTGGGGAAATATTTCCCTTTCCTATATCACAGGAACCCAATAAATCAATAGAATACTAGAACATCATGTGACAGATCAATGAAATTTTTTTTCAAGTGTGCCCAGATTCCTGTTGAATCCAAATTAAAGTGCCTTAGTTCTCTATACATTGATATCTGTACTGAAATTCAATGCAAAAACATGAAAAAAATGAAATCCCCCAACATAAATATAAATTTAGTCTAATACTTTCTCCAGATCTTGGGTATCCAATGACCTTAATAAATTTTTTTTAATACATTTCACCTGCTTTTTGAAAGACACTATGTATAAAATAGTGTATAAATGTATAAAATTCAGTGTTTGACATTTAGATGTACTTAAGCTCTAAAGGCTTCTAGTTGTTGTCAATGATATTGTACACGTTTTAATCATCAAGTTATAAATGTATAAACTGTACCTGAAGTTGGAATCGTATACATGCATGTATGTTACAATTCCTCATGGAACATGAATATAATCAAAATTAACAATTATGAATTCAATCAAAACAAATCCACTTGTTTTTAACTGAGTATAAGAATATTTGTTAAACCTCGTTATTGTGCCAAAGAAGCTCTCACTGCCGTTCTCATTTTTCTGAATGACGGGAAATCCCCCGTGGGTGGTGTTGAGTATGAGGGTAGAGAGAACTGAGACTGACTCCCGGGTCTGTACCGTAATCACCGGAGATGACATGATGTCACCTGCTGCAAACAGGTCAAGGTTCAGCCTAAAAGTAGGTCAAGTCAAATAGTATGATACATGTCTTTGAGAGCAATGCATCAAGAGAAAGAGCATTTTAAAAATTCTTAATATGAAGTACTTAAAAATTTCTTCCTGATATACAGATTCTTCATAAAGTTCCTGAACAGAATTAATATAAATAAACATTCTGTGATGAGTGGATATACTCACTGAGCTTTATCTATTCTGACCCTAGGCTCAGGGTCCAGTAATGGGATACACTTCAGTTCCAGTAAGGCATGGTAGATAGGATGAGTAAAGAAATCCCCTACCCACTTGGCCACCATTACAGACACCATCACAGGCAAGAGAATCTGTACATCATTGGTCAGCTCCATCTACAAAATGGCAGTATTGGTTACCTCAAACAAATATTTTCATCAGAATAAAATTCACAATTTGTGTGGAAATGGAACTTTGGTTTTCATTAACGGGTCCTGATAAAAAATCTAAATGTTTCTTGTTACCATGATGACAGTGACAGCCAAAGCCAGCCTGGTGACTCCTCCAAAGAATGATGCTGCCCCGATCAGTGAGAAAACCCCAGGGTCCATCCATGCCCAGTACCCAAAGTCTTCACTGTGGACCCCAAACATAGAGGTCATCAGGAGCCCTACTGCACGCCCATAAAGACCACCCACCAGACTGTAATTTAAACATATGCACCAAACACTAATTTACATTTGGCACTGTTTGGAGCTAAAGTTCTGTTAGTTTAGCAGTGAATATGCATATACAATAAAACGGTGAAAATGATGTGAAAATATCTCACAAGAAGAAGTTAATACATGTACAAGAAAAATGCATAAAATCATTAATATGAACACAGGATAAATTTAAAATTTGTTACATAATGATGAAATAGAATAAAAATGCATAAATTGTACAGTATATAAAGATGTGAAGTTAGGTGTTTCTTTCAAATTCCAAGGGAAAAAGACAAATTTCACCAAAGAATATATTTCACATCATTGTTCAAGCTACTGATTTCTTTTCATAAATAGAATAAGCACAATAAGTTAGATAGGACTGTACACAGATTTAAGCTATACTTACAGCATGGGTACGAGAGCACCACTAGCCACTGAGGTTCCAGTCGCCCAGCAGATCAACAGGAAATAGATAACCAGCATTGTCAGCAGAGAACCAAACCCAAACTGTAAGTGTGTATCTCTCGAAAAAAGACGCTTCACGGCATTTTCTAGGGTCCCAAACATCAAAGTAGCCACTAAACAGAGATCAACTATATGATTTCTCATTGTTGTTGCAAGCTACAGAATTGTAATTTTATTGAATTATTTCAGGTGGAGGAACATCATTCTCTCTAATTTATCACTTAAATTTAACATTGGATCCTATGCTTTTGATTTATACATCTTCACTGAATATTTAACATTTCAAGTTCTCTTCCTGTATGTTGATGTGTTGGTGAATTTGTTAGTGAATAACTGATTTCCTTTCTTGTAGTCTGTTGATGTTGTTGTATCGCTGATATTGCTAGTAAATACTTATTTTTGTTATGCATTGAAGTACATGTACTTGAAATAGGTCATTGAAAATACCTTTGTAGTCTGGGGTTATCTACTTTCATTATAAGTACTGGTGGTGTACACTTCTTAGTTTGTGGTTACTTACTTTCATCATTAGTACTGGTAGTGTTTGTAGTTTGTGGTTACTTACTTTTGTCATAAGTACTGGTGGTGTCTGTAGTTTGCGGTTACTTACTTTTGTCATAAGTACTGGTGGTTTTTGTAGTTTGTGGTTACTTACTTTTGTCATAAGTACTGGTGGTGTTTGTAGTTTGTGGTTACTTACTTTTGTCATAAGTACTGGTGGTGTTTGTAGTTTGTGGTTACTTACTTTCGTCATAAGTACTAGTGGTGTTTGTAGTTTGTGGTTACTTACTTTCGTCATAAGTACTGGTGGTGTTTGTAGTTTGTGGTAATTTACTTTTGTTATAAGTACTGTTGGTGTATACATAGTCTATGGTTACTCACTTTCATTGTACGGGTAGTGTATACTTTTTAGATTGTGATTACTTACTTTCATTGTAAGTACTGATGGTGTACACTTTGTAGCTTGTGATTACTTACTTTCATTATAAGTACTGATGGTGTACACTTTGTAGTTTGTGATTACTTACTTTCATTGTAAGTACTTGTGGTGTACACTTTGTAGTTTGTGGTTACTTACTCTCATTGTAAGTACTATTGGTGTACACAGTTGTGTTGGTGATTCCAGTTATGCCCCCTCTCTTACAGTTGTATGTTTCCACGGTGGCCTCCACATGTAGCGGGTTCCTTGTGTCATTCATGCAGTTCACCCTGTAAGAAAATGTTTCAATGACTTTGACTAAAACTGAACAGAAAAAGCTCTGGATCTGAATTTATTCTCTGAAAATGTCTTCTGCAATTCCACTACTATTTCCTCTGAATTGACTGAAAAGCATTACACCAGTGAACTTCAATGAATGACATTACATATTTCAAACATGCAATATTAAACTTTCAGATGTCTGTGTTGCAAAGCCATTCAATGACATAATAGAAAATAACAGTAAAACTCTCACAGAACATAGCAGTCAAACTGTCACAAAAAATTGTAATCATACTGTTGCAAAATATAGCAGTTCAACTTTGACGGAAAATAGCAGTTAAACTAAGAAAAAGCAGTTAAACTGTCATAAAAATAGCAGTAAAACTGTCAAAGATCACGGAAATTGTATTGTTATAGAAAATATCAGTCAAACTTTGAAAGAAAATACCAGTCAAACTTTGAAAGAAAATACCAGTCAAACTTTGAAAGAAAATATCAGTCAAACTTTGACAGAAAATACCAGTCAAACTTTGAAAGAAAATGTCAGTCAAACTTTGAAATAAAATACCGGCCAAACTTTGACAGAAAATATCAGTCAAACTTTGAAAGAAAAAAGCAGTCAAACTGTCACAGAAAATAGCAGTCACATTGTCTCAAAACTTAACAGTCAAACTATCAAAGCAGTCAAACTGTACAAAACATAGCAAAAGATAGCAGTCAAACTGTACAGAACATAGCAAAAGATAGCAGTCAAACTGTACAGAACATAGCAAAAGATAGCAGTCAAACTGTACAGAACATAGCAAAAGATAGCAGTCAAACTGTACAGAACATAGCAAAAGATAGCAGTCAAACTGTACAAAACATAGCAAAAGATAGCAGTCAAACTGTACAGAACATAGCAAAAGATAGTAGTCAAACTGTACAAAACATAGCAAAAGATAGCAGTCAAACTGTACAAAACATAGCAAAAGATAGTAGTCAAACTGTACAGAACATAGCAAAAGATAGCAGTCAAACTGTACAAAACATAGCAAAAGATAGCAGTCAAACTGTACAAAACATAGCAAAAGATAGCAGTCAAACTGTACAGAACATAGCAAAAGATAGTAGTCAAACTGTACAAAACATAGCAAAAGATAGCAGTCAAACTGTACAAAACATAGCAAAAGATAGTAGTCAAACTGTACAGAACATAGCAAAAGATAGCAGTCAAACTGTACAAAACATAGCAAAAGATAGCAGTCAAACTGTACAAAACATAGCAAAAGATAGCAGTCAAACTGTACAGAACATAGCAAAAGATAGTAGTCAAACTGTACAAAACATAGCAAAAGATAGCAGTCAAACTGTACAAAACATAGCAAAAGATAGTAGTCAAACTGTACAGAACATAGCAAAAGATAGTAGTCAAACTGTACAAAACATAGCAAAAGATAGCAGTCAAACTGTACAGAACATAGCAAAAGATAGTAGTCAAACTGTACAAAACATAGCAAAAGATAGCAGTCAAACTGTACAAAACATAGCAAAAGATAGTAGTCAAACTGTACAGAACATAGCAAAAGATAGTAGTCAAACTGTACAAAACATAGCAAAAGATAGTAGTCAAACTGTACAGAACATAGCAAAAGATAGTAGTCAAACTGTACAAAACATAGCAAAAGATAGCAGTCAAACTGTACAAAACATAGCAAAAGATAGTAGTCAAACTGTACAGAACATAGCAAAAGATAGCAGTCAAACTGTACAAAACATAGCAAAAGATAGCAGTCAAACTGTACAAAACATAGCATAAGATAGTAGTCAAACTGTACAGAACATAGCAAAAGATAGTAGTCAAACTGTACAGAACATAGCAAAAGATAGTAGTCAAACTGTCACAGAAAATAGCAAAAGATAGTAGTCAAACTGTACAAAACATAGCAAAAGATAGCAGTCAAACTGTACAAAACATAGCAAAAGATAGCAGTCAAACTGTACAGAACATAGCAAAAGATAGTAGTCAAACTGTACAGAACATAGCAAAAGATAGCAGTCAAACTGTACAAAACATAGCAAAAGATAGCAGTCAAACTGTACAAAACATAGCAAAAGATAGTAGTCAAACTGTACAGAACATAGCAAAAGATAGTAGTCAAACTGTACAGAACATAGCAAAAGATAGTAGTCAAACTGTACAAAACATAGCAAAAGATAGCAGTCAAACTGTACAAAACATAGCAAAAGATAGTAGTCAAACTGTACAAAACATAGCAAAAGATAGCAGTCAAACTGTACAAAACATAGCAAAAGATAGTAGTCAAACTGTACAGAACATAGCAAAAGATAGTAGTCAAACTGTACAAAACATAGCAAAAGATAGTAGTCAAACTGTACAAAACATAGCAGTCACTGTGTCAAAAAAAAAGATAGTAGTCAAACTGTACAGAATATAGCAGTCACTGTGTCAAAAAAAAAAGATAGTAGTCAAACTGTACAGAATATAGCTGTCACTGTGTCAAAAAAAAGATAGTAGTCAAACTGTACAGAATATAGCAGTCACTGTGTCAAAAAAAAGATAGTCGTCAAACTGTCACAGAAAAAAAGCAGTCAACTGTCACAGAAAATGGTAGTTAGATTTCCAAAAGACTGTGGATTGAACAAATAGTACACTCTGTAACTTTAATAATGAACAAAAATATTGCAACACAGAGCATCCACACATTCCACCTCATAAATTTATCCATGGCATTTATATCTTAGTGTACTGTTTCTAAATCTGTTGGAAATTACATTGTAAAAGTGTGAAACATTATACATTAGATATTAAATAAATATCAAAAAAACACTGCCTACCTCACATCTCCACTGACTCCCTCTATACATGTGAATTTGGAGCAACCAAAGGCTTGAGGGAGGTAAACTGAGAGAATGGTCACTATAATCTACAATAAAGTGCCCCGCCACAGCATGATACGCCCGTCAAATATTGTTCAATTATCACAAACATTTTAGAGTGCAAGAAAATCAAGTCAACCTTGATACACAGATTTCCATGATTTTTCCATTCCTTATAATATTTGTTTATACATTTCCTGTGGTGTAGGCATGAATTATAACAAATATTACATTATAGATCCTCAACTGGTTGTGTTAGAGCTTGACAAATGCCCATCTGCAGCCCCCCCCCCCCCTCCCCTTTTTATATTTGTGAGACATGATGCTCTGAAATTTGTGAGTTGATATTTTCAAAAAATTAAATAAAAATATCATATTATTCAATATGAATTTATCTTAACAACTTAATCTATACCAAATTAATTATAAAATAAAAGACTGGCCATCAAATGAAATATGCTATAAACTGACCAGCAGTTCTTCTGTTTAATTCCCAAGGATACAGATAAGAAGTGCTTGATCAGATATGCTCTAACAGAAATGATTGAGACAACTAGCCTTCCTACACTGAATCATTAATTAATCTTTAACTGGATGCATGTCCACTCATTACTCCCAAGGGATGAATGGATCTGCGCTATCTGCTTTGTAGTGCAAATAGAATGCATATTAATGTCATACTGAAATTAAATTTGAAAACAAAGATTTTTTTTTCAATTTGTTACAAAGATTTATAAAAAGAAAAAAAAATGTAATCTTGATGCAACATTTTTAATAAGGTTTCTGCTTGACTCTTACATTTGTAGGGACTATCTACCATAATTAAATCTTTTTTTTTAAATACTTGATTTTTTTTTTTTAGACTCAATGTCAGACTGGTTTTAAGCTGCAATTCATATGGAGAACCGGCATGCTAATTCCAATATCACCCCCCCCCCCCTTCCGAGTATAATTAGTTTTAATTAATTAGTTTAATATAAGATATCAAATTAGTTTAAATAATACATATAATACAATACCAAATTAGTTTTAATTACTTTTCACCAAATTCATTTTAAAAGTTAGGCTAGCCCACAAAAACTATGTAATCCAACATGGCTGATTCCTCTGCCCAATTCCCAAGAGATATAGATAACACCTGCTTGATCAGAGATGCTCTACCAGTTAGCTCCTCACACTAAACTCATTAATTTCTCTCTAATTTGACGTGCAATTTTCTGTTATCAAAATTCTCCTTGACCAGTGCTTGATAATTACACCCATGGGAGAGGTGGAATTTCTCTTGTAACATTATATTTGTTATAGATTGCTGTAAAGTATATAATGAAAAAAATAAGTATTTTCTTGATTTTAACATTTTTTTAATAAGGATACTGCAACACTTTTACATTTTTTGGGATTGTATAATATAATAGTAAAAAGACAGTTTTTTTTTAAGTTTCACTTAAATTAAAGGTCACAGTGACCTTGAAATAGGTCACAACACACCTTCTACCTAAGATGCATAAACTGGCCAAGTTTGATGATTCTAAGTCTAATAGTTTTCTAGTTATGAGCCGGACAGGATTTTTCCATATTTGGCCATAGCATCTTAATTAAAGGTCAGAACGACCTACTTTTTGTGCGCGACACACCGTCTACCCAAGAAGTATCAGCTGACAAAGTTTGATAATCCTAGGCCTAATAGTATTAAAGTTATGAGCCGGACATGAGAAAAGCTAACAGACAGACAGACGGACGGACATGAACGCCATAACATAATACGTCCCGTCTAAAGACGGACGTATAAAAACAACACCCAACTCAAATATACACTATAATCTATAAAAATAACATTTCAGATATACACTATAATATATGAAAACAACAACATCTCAAATATACAATATAATCTACAAAAACAACACCATCTTAAATATACATTTACGAGGGGTGATCAAAAGTATGCGAACTAATTGAATTGCTTCCATAAAAGAAATAAAATTAGGTTTTAGTGTTCATTATTTTTTAAAGTAGTCCTCTCTGATTTTAATGCACATCTGCCACTGTTCTGTCATTCTGTGATCCAGGCAGTCACGTGCCATGCTCCATAGCGTTCTGTTCACAGAAGCTTAAAGATTTTTCCGAGTCTTATATTTCTTGCCATGAAAGTTATTTTTAATAACAACAGTCCATTTGTCAGAAATGTCTAAATCTCGGCAATAGGATGGGTGGATAAGGATATCCTTTCCCAGAGTGAGCATGGTGACCATCAAATCCTGAGTCCTCTGTCTTGGGAGTGTCATTTATCCAATGTGGATAAAGCATGGGCAATTCTTTTTATCATATCTGATATGTTTTAAGTCTAAAGTAAATGATATTTTAGGGATTTAATAATTATATTATTGTTAAGATATTGAACTATTTTTTTAACTGTAACTTGGCGATCTTTCATAACAAATTGCTCAACTAAGGACACATCTCTTCCTCAGCTTGCTTTAACTGGGCAACAGAACAAACATCATTTTTAACCATCTCCCTTTCTTCACTAGAACAATCAATCCAATTGATGATTGAACTTCTGGCAAGTATTTTGTCTTCAAAAAGCTTGTACAAATTATTATATGCTACTGCAAAGGAATTTCCAAGATAAACTAAAAACTCTAATGCCGTTTGTTGCTCGAGTACGACTGAGTCAACCATTTTTTGTCACAAGTCATCTATATATAGTTGCATTTTCACACTGAAACATCACAAACATGGAGCAAAACATCACATAACATCTGCTATTTATAGATCTTTTGAACAACTATATGTATGCCAAATTTCATTCTGATCTGAATTGTGGTTTTGTAAATATAGAGATAGTTCGCGAACTTTTTGATCACCCCTCGTATAATCAACAAAAACAACACCATCTTAAATTACACATACATGTATTAAATTATAGTGTTAAATTACTTCACATTAGGAATTTTTAAAGATTTCTGAAGCATTTCTTTATCTAAGAAATATAATAAAATCAAAAAATAATGCAAATACAGATTACAAAGTTTAAAACAAAGCAACATAAACCTTCAGGTAAAGTTGTCACTTACTATGATAATAGCAGGCTCAAATATCCTCAATATTTTCTGGAGCCATTCACTTTTGATGTTTGCTAGAAGTCGTTTTCTGCTCCGAGTCATCTTTAAGTGGAGGATAGTAAATACAGCCCCCAGAAGGCCCCCAATAAGTCCAATGATAATCGTAGGGATGAACATCAAAATGTTAACATCTATACCTCTTTCAACCTAATAAACATATATTCACATACATGTACATTGCAAGGATATGAATAATATTGTTCTGTTACAAGTTGTAAAAAAAAATCTTCCACATATAGCGTAGGTAACACTATATGCAATGCAACAAAAAAGCACAATCTGGCCTTCAATAAGTTTAGGTATCTAATTTTTTATTGTAACTTTTATTTTTAAGTTAATTAGTTTATTTTGCCAAATAGATTTTACAACATTTTAACAAAACTAAAAGTTATTGCCAAAATATAATCAAAATGTAACACATGTACTTAATCCTACCCATACATCTCCTTTGTTATTTTTGAGAAGCAAAAGCACTAGAAAGGTAGACCAATATAATACAGGTAAAATTTTGATTTAAAAGTTCTGTATCTGACACAAGCACTTGATATCATATTTTTCTGCTTTCCAAAAAAAAAAAAATTACCCCTACCTACATGTATGTGATTTATGATATATAGGAGGTTTTTTTAATATGATGACAAAAGAAAAAAAAAAATTTAAGTGCCTCTGGTAGCATTTTACTTGAAAAAGAAAGACTTACATTAAAGAGAATGTATCTAGTTGTCTTAAACTGGCCAAATCCTCCTGTATATTTGAATCCGTCAAAGGCAGAATTAAAGAGATCTGTTGTAAAGGTGGAGATCATGCAGCAGAAAAAAATCTGCCAGGAGAGAGTCGTGGTCCAAAATGAAGATACCTCCTCCATAGAAAAAAGGAGGCCCCCCACAGGGGATCCGAAGGCAGAGGCAACTCCAGCTGCTGCTCCAGCAGATATAAAGTTACGTCTACAGGTAATTATCAAAATAAAATTTTTAATGTTATTTGAAGACAACATAAAATGGAGTGTTTTACCTCTGAGTTAAAATAAGAAGAGTCTATACTAAACCTGTCCTCTGAAGTTCTAAATCTTTGAAAGATAGGAAGATTGATTTTGAGTGTCTCTGACTGAAACTGGCTTAGTCCAGCCCCAACAAGTGCTCTGAAAAATTAAAAGAATGAGGTTTCCACCTTCAATTTCAATAAAAGACTCAAAATCATGTAAATGTGATTTTCTTGTGTCTAATCTGCATCAGTTTTAGACCTCAAATAGTTTATGGAGAATTATATTTGAGATAAGAGTTATTTGATTGAAATTTGTAGCAGACTCTATTACCCCATATGAATCATTGGTCCCTCTGGTCCCACTGGAAGACCACAGCCAACAGCTGCCAGACAGGAGAAGAATTTGACAGCCAATGTCTTCACATTAAATATATGCCTTACCATGGTCCCATTGAGAAACCCTGTGACTTCAGGTATCCCCGACCCTCCAGCACTCGGACGTAAAAACTACAACAAAAGGGGAACAACTCCATAATTCACACATTAATTTGACTCAGTGGAAATCAAGAATGTGCTATAATTCTGGTAGGTATTTACTAACCACTACTATGAATGAACTAAATATGATGAAAACAAGACTGTACGCAGTGGCTACAACACAAGCCAGTCCAAAATCATTGTCCTGAAAAAAAAAATGAAAACTTCATAGCCTGTGCCAACAGTATCATTAAAATGAATGACCAATTTCAAATACAAGGATTTATATTCACAAAGTGAAAAAAGATTACATGTACATACACTTTCACATAGCATTTGATAAGTAACAATTTGTGTAATTTTTTGTTTACTTTCTTTCATATTTTAGCTATGCTGCATGATTTTGATACTTACATCTATAAACTGGCGTGTCAGGTGCCATTTTAAGTGAGCAATTTCTTCTATCAAATCATGCAGTAGGAAACCAATCATTCCCACAAAGAAACCAATCAATCCCATAATAACCCATCTCCCCAAGTTATACCTACAAAACATAGAGAAATAAATCAATCCCATAATAACCCATCTCCCCAAGTTATACCTACAAAACATAGAGACAATACAACAGTTGAACTTCGGTATCTCGAACATGTATATCTCGAATACCATGTGGATATAATGTCAAAGTCATTTTGAAGTCCCAACTGCTTATTCCTTAAGTATTTTACCCTGGATATCTCGAATCCTCAGTTATCTCGAAGTATTTTCTCGGTCCCTTTGAGTTAAAGATAACGAGGTTTGACTGTATATGATAGAGTTTAAATAAGCATGAACTTTACAAATTTAATCCTATTTTAGATACAATATTCTATTCTACAGATCGAATCTTCTGATGATATAGTTATCTGATGTCAGTTTTAAGCCTGAATGAGAAATCTATAAGTAATATAATAATTCCCTTCCTGACTAACATTCACCCAGTCACAGTTCTGTGTAAGAAGTTATACTGTATTCTATGAATTCCCCCTGTCTTAAATTCACCCACTTGCGTCTCAGGCGAAAGGGGCAAAAATAAAAAGGGGGTGAAAATTTCCCTGTATACAGTATATTTGAAATTTTTTCAAGTATTTCAGTATCAAAACTTCTACAATGTCCCAACCCTTGCCCTTTAGGGATTTTGAAGAAACAGGAGTCTACATATAATTGGAGATTTCTTCTAGTTTGATCTTCTCTCCCATAGTTTCATAAGAAAAAAGATTTTCATAGGTCCTATCTTATTTGCACAGCTTATTAATTATCTCCCCTTGAAATGGTGCATTGCTGTTCATTGAAATAAACTGAATGGGTCTGGTGGAAGTAAGCAGATGGACAAGAGCCACAAAAATTAAACTGATAATAGATAAACTTTGATCAGAAAAGCTAGAACCTTTAGCTTCCGTAAGCTTTAGAGGTCAATCTTTACATGGTTAAGATCTTAATGATAAGGACTGTATCAAGATATCGATATATATTTATTATTTATATTCAAGAATGTATCGAATAAAAAAAAAAATAACTTCCAATACGTTATCGGACAGGCATTTTTCCTTATAATTCTGTGAAAAAGTTCGAAATTTCAATCACCAAAGATAATATTTAACTGTTCTGAATAAAAACTGATCAATAATTATATAATCATTTAGGAGATAGCATATCTTTAATAATTATTACAAAATATATTAACATGTTGGTTTTACAGTCCTTAAAAGTTTGAAATTGAAGTGTATTTTGTTAAGAAAATGAGAGGAGAACTTCGAAATGGGTTATAAAATACTCAGTTTTTATAAAACTTATGCTTTAAATGATTTATAAGTCATTTTTGATAGATTTATTAAAGAATCCAATATATCGCATATTGCTTTATAAAATATTGTATCATATCATATTGTATCGAATTTTTTTGCTCAATACACAGCCCTACTAATGATACAATAATTCTATTTTTAAATTAGATATTTTTTCAACAAATCATGTCAGCAACATAATACTCCTTACCCTAAGGGACCCTGATTTTTCAGCCATCTTTTGTAGATTTCACTGTGTGGAGGGAGATAATCCACACTTTCAAAGGAGCTCAGAGTTCTCTGCTCTTCTTTAGTGTACTTGTGGGTCACATAGACTGGCTCGTAGTCTCTACCCTATTGATGTATTTCAAAGGTCTTAAACCATTTCATGAATAAAATATTTTTTTTCTTATTACCGCGGTACCTAACACTGAGGTTATTGAGTAATCATTAGAAATAACTAACAATGCACTTGACAGGAATAGATGATTTTCACATTTACAAGAGTCATTTCCCTTAGCAAAGTCAACCTAGGGCCAGCTGGTGTAAGGTACTGTTTTCCCTCTTTAACATATTACTAGCTTTAAGAGGCAATTGTCTGACACTTGAAATCTACATTTAAGTTTTCTTTGTTGCCCCATGCTATGCTAATACATATACAGAAATGGTACAACTTTGCCCAAAAGCATTTAAAGGTTTAAAATATTTACAAGTAAGTTACAAAGGATGAACAGTATTGAGAAAAAGGTTTGTTACGCCAACAAGGTGAGATAACTTTTAAAAATGTGAAAGTTGTTTACATCTATACAATACTCTTCACTCTACAAAGTGAATTGCAACAAATTTTCAACACTGCATATGGTCTCTGACACTCTATACTTAATTGAAATATTGACACTCTACAGGGTTCGACACTAACGTTAGTCCGTTAGTCTCAGACTAATACATTTTCATTCGGACTAATAAAATATGTGGCTAATTAGTCCGAACGGACCAATAAAAAATTCTGAAAAACAATATGAATAAATTACCGATGTCCGATTCTCAACAACTTTTACTGGAAAACCCCGCATGTATTTTTAGATTTTTAGCTTTTGGCGGGTAGTTACGCAATGCCGGGTCAGTTCAGTGCTTAATTTTTCGACTAAGTGATCGATGTGAAGTAAAGGTTATAGGCCGAAAACTGTCCATTCTGTGAGAAGAAAGAACTGTTGGAGGGCCGTTAGGCCCGACAATAGTTCTTTCTTCTCACAGAATGGACAGTTTGAGGCCTATAACCTACTTAAAACATTTACTCTATTGTGTTCATAATGTACTCTCTTAAAATTGTTTCTTATCCATTGTATTGAGTAAGCATTGTCTACTTATTGGACTGTCTCAGGTAAAGGTTGCTGTCAATCAAAAGAAACTTTTACATTCATTGTAATTGTTAACTTAGTGGACAGTTACAGGTAAGTGCTAATTTTAAATAAACGAATTAAGAATATTTAACCACAATGCCATGATATTCCAAAATCATTTTCTTGGGATTGTCAGTGTTGAAAGCACGTCTTCATCCGAGTTGGGAAAGCATATTACTGATGCAAATCAAATTCAGATATGATGAGCAATCTACTAATAATACAGATGTCATTTTTCTAGTGAGTTTTGGATTTTGAGATTAGGATTTCAAGATAATGAACTTTGAAGTCAAAGTGGACGATTTTTCAAATATTTCTCAACTTTTGGCTAAGGCTATTCAAGGACGCAGAAAAACAAAGGGAACGTAGAAAGATTTCCGCAATTAAATCAACAATATTTGGATGATTTAAAAAAGGCTTTTCGCAGAAAACAGAGAAATGTAAATGGGCAGTAACTGTGTTCTTTAACTGTCAGGGAGAATGTTGCACAGTACCCATCGTTGATGTTTTCATGCTTAAGGATGTTGGGTGATAAAGAAATCAACAAAATTATTATTTTCATCGCTGAAGTCAGAAACGAATCGGGCAAAGACTAATGACCAAATACCCTTGCATTCCTATAACAGAAGAAACTATGTGCTCCTGCAGCAAGTGAGCAAAATTATTCGGAGTTCTAGTGAGAAAGAAGGAGCGATTGATTCTTGTCAGTAAGGCATTAAAAAGGGAGAAGTGATATTCTCGTGTGTGTTGTTGGTGCAACTTACATAGAATTCGGAGATATTTCCTTCAAATTAAGTTTTGACATTCATTGTGATATGGAATATACATTTCATCATTTTCAATTTTTGTTTCTGTGACTTGGAATATATATTTCATTGTTGGATTCATTACTTCAAATATTTATTTGTGTCGTTGTTGTGTTTCCTTAATCATTAACTTACCTGTAGCCGTCCAATAAGTTATTAAATACTGTCCATTATTTTTAATAATGGACAGATTTTTGACTTATTGGACGGTTACAGGTAACTTATTGGACTGTCTTGGGTCTTTCAAGGAATAGAAAGTATTAAAACAACAAAGGATGATGTCATACTAATGTTTTAAGTATAAGGTTTTAGCGATCATGATTTAGAATGACACTTTTAAGATAGATGTTGGACGTTTTGGATGTAATGTAAAGAAAAAAAAACGAGATCCGGAATACGATCGTACTTGCTGATTGCGAGATTTCAATGAATCTGTGGAATAATATATTTCACATAAATACTTTGTTTATTTAAAAAAAAAATGATACGTATATTAATTGTCACGTTAAATTAATGTTAAAAAACATTGATGTTTCTTTTTTTTTTGACGGACTAATAAAATCGCGTGCGGACTAGTAAAAGTAATGAAGCACTAGTCCGGCTGGACTAAGGCCTTAAAAAGTTAGTGTCGAACCCTGCTCTACACAGTATATTGTTAAAAAGATAGTTTTTCTATATCATATTTCCCCCTTGTTTTATTTCCCTTGGCCACCATCTTAGAGGGCAAGTCAACCTTAGTGATTTTTCTTCTAGCTGTCTTACCTAATTCAAAGTTGTGTGACAAAATTGCTTTAGGGGAAAATCTTTATAAAACAAAAATTCTGAATTAAAGGCTTTTATCAAAAAATTATACTTCAGAAAAAAATAATATTTCTTACACCACATTGCCCAGTATGATAATTAAGTTAAAAATGGTTCATTAATGAAGGAATCAGAGCAAGTTGACCTCTAATATCATTTCCAATGGAAAATACCTCTTGCTAAATTCACATCTCTTGAAAAAAATATTTATTAACATTTTACGTTATATGGTCCCTGATATTCTTAAATGAGTGTTGTTTTTTTAACATTCAACATAGCATATGGTTATCATTCTACACTGTGTATAATTACACAATTCTACATGGTGTGTGGTTACTAACCTGTTCAAACAGTCCATATTGATCATCTGCTGGATATTCCACAGTGTCATCCTGAGGTTGAGGCTGTGTGAGGCCCGTCTTATGTAACATACGATGTCGTAAACCTCCCTTTGAAAACAGAGACTGGTTTGTTTGATGAGTGGACAGTGGTGAAGCTGCCTGGGTCTCTTGTCTTGTGTCTGAGCCCTCCTCTGTGACAGAAGCCTCAGACTGAATTTCATCCCTTGACTCTCGAGTCATGTCTTCAATAAAGGCACTCATTCTGATTTTCTGAAAGTCAAATCAAATAATATCTATAATAAAACAAATAATTTGTTTGCATTACATATTCAAAATTTATTGAATTTGTTATGTTTTTAACATTTTAATTTCTTAAAAATCATATTGTTCAGAATTTATGTATTAAAATTGCATTAAACTCTATGTCACAGTGAGGAAAATGCAACAGACCAGATTTGAATCTAGCCCCCCTGAATCTCCAGTCTATCTGGCCACCAGAGATCGAACCTGTCTGACTGCCATAACAGACACCGTGCGAAAGGTGATACTGTACTGTACAGCATACACGTTCGTCCCTATTTGTCAGTTCAATGTGATATGAACAAAGTCAGGTCACAGTCAGTCAATGAAAGCCAACAGAAATTCCATCGATGATTTTTAATATTTCCAAAGTTAATTAATATATAAGTACTATAACATAATATGCCCTTCGTGAAATCCCTGAATGCTGATATACCATAGAACATCTCGCAGCAATGCCTATTTCGAAAGTTGGCAAAGAGATAAAACAATCTTTTAGAACTAAAACTAAAAATGACACCCACACCAAACTAAATGATAAATTTTTAAAGGAAGTATCAACACACTTACTTGTCAATGGTATTTGTATCTATCATTAAATTACAGTTATTACATTGTAAAACTCGACTTTGATCAAAGTGAAACTAGGTGTTCTAGGGGTCAAATTCAAGTCCATCGTTAAGTCGTACATAGAACACGTCGTATTTTCAAGAGGTGTAAGTTTCCAGAAATAAAATTGATAAATAATCAAGCATTGAAGACTTTATTTCTTATGACATTTGTAAATCCAATAAACCCAAAAATTCCTGATAAAACAATGAAAATATTTTTTATGATATAAATATTTTTGTACAGTCAAAAAACATTTTTCAGTAGAGCATGGAGGGTCCTTAGAAAAGAAATAGAGAGAGAGAGAGAAAGGTAATAGCTTTTCATTGTTCAAAGAAAAATTAAAAATATTCAAGTCATTCTTTTAAAAACTACTCTCTGGATGTGCTTGTTTCGTGGAAGTATATTTGTGTAAAAATCGCAACTTGATTTTTTACTACGAATTTTCTAAACCTCTTAATACTGGGCGTCCGGTATTATTAAAAGAAATCAATTGACAAAACGTGGATTATCTCTGTATTTTTTCCATGAAAAAAGAAATTAAAACAATATAGAGATTAAATAAATATTTTAATGCAAGGCACAAAATACGCGCATTTTGAGGTTCTTCTATACCACTAACATAAAATTATATATGTATATCATTATGAAGGTAAAAATCCAACTGGTTTTGAATGAATGGAAAATTGCCTTTAGAATAGGATTATTCCCGGGAAAAGTCTATATTCTGTTTTCATGGCAACCGGCCTAAAAATTGATATTTATACTATGAACAACCAAATCAGCCCTACCTCTATACAATACCGTTGCCCACATCATCACACTAACATGACCAAATCTATCAACCTCCTAGAGGCAGTTTTCTGCAAAACGTTCATTACAAAGCTTATGCAATCTGATTCTTCCCATGGCCGTAGGAACCGGGGGGGGGGGCATGGGGGACCATGCCCCCCATTAATTTTGCCGATATATAGTCTACTATAGAAAACATAGCTATTATATACGAAAGCCCATTAGGATCAAACTGCGGTAAAAAAATTTAAAAGGCGTTATAACGCCTTTTCAAAAGGCGTTATAACGCGAAAAAAAGGCGTAATAACGCTTTTTGAAAAGGCGTTATAACGCGGAAAAAGGCGTAATAACGCAAATAAAGGCGTAATTACGCCTTTCGAAAAGGCGTTATTACGCCTTTCTAAAAGGCGTTATTACGCCTTTTAAAAGGCATTATTACGCCTTTCTAAAAGGCGTTAATATGCCTTTCCAAAAGGCGTTATTACGCCTTTTTAAAAGGCGTTATTACGCCTTTTAAAAAAACGTTATTAAGCCTTTCCAAAAGGCGTTATTACGCCTCTTATGTTTCAATACATGACTTACTTGGCCCACCTTGGGGGCTGATTATAATTAGATTTCCAGGAAAAAAGATTTTTAAATGTGTAAAATATTTCCAGTGTAAAACCAACTTAGTCCTTCTCTGATGCCAGACACCTCTACCAAGGTGCATGGATTTCAGAAATTTGGTTGAAGGCTAATTGCTCATTATACCTATGCAAATAGTTTGCCTGTTTTTTTCAAGAGGAGAGAAACATATTTCAAATTTGACATGAATTTTAAATACATGGCTAGCAAAGCCCAAAGCTGGCTCTGCGTATATCCTGGATTTTCAAAAGCAGAGTGTTGACTTCTCTTAATACGCATGCAAACAGCTGTCTGCGAGATATGAGGAATATAGAAAATACTATAATTTATAATATAATTTATAATATTAAAATTATAATCTAAATATTGCATAAATAAAGGTGGCTTTGGTTCAATCTTTCATATATTTATTATTTTAAAATAACGCCTTTCCATTTTTGGATATAACTCCTTTTCGAACAAACAGGCCTGTAGTACGAATGGGAGGGGGGGGGGTCCCCCACCCCACTTTTTGGGAGAATAGTCTTGCCATAGTTTGCTTGGTCCCTTAACATTTTGTTGCAGTATGGTTAAACTCGGGCAAGTCATTGCATTTAAAAAAAGTTTCACCGATAAGTTAGAAAAAGATTCCCCTTTAGGCAGTTTATTTCTTTTTTTTTTGGGGGGGGGGGGGGGAGAAGGCAGTTTATTTTTTTTGGGGGGGGGGGGGAGGTTCTTGTTTTTTTGTTTGCTTGTCAATTTTATGGGAACCCCCCCCCTTTAAAAGCACGGGCCTGTCAAAGACATAATAATGGCCCTTCAAAAGGCATAATAACGCCTTTTTGAAAGGCGTATTAATGCCTTTTAAAAAGGCGTAATAACGCCTTTTAAAAGGCGTAATAACGCCTTTTTAAAAGGCGTAATAACGCCTTTTAAAAAGGCGTAATAACGCCTTTTGGAAAGGCGTAATAACGCCTTTTTAAAAGGCGTAATAACGCCTTTTGGAAAGGCGTAATAACGCCTTTTGGAAAAGCGTAATTACGCCTTTATTTGCGTTATTACGCCCTTTTCCGCGTTATAACGCCTTTTCAAAAGGCGTTATTACGCCTTTTTTCGCGTTATAACGCCTTTTGAAAAGGCATTATAACGCCTTTTAAATTTTTTTTTTACTGTAGTTTGATCCTAATAGGCTTTCGTAATCATATGCTTGTGCCCCCTCAACAAAAACGTCTGATGACCTTTTCTTTTCTTTCTTTTTTCTTTTTTTTCTTTTTTTGCTTGTCAAGGAATTTTTTTTTGGTAGTTGATAGTGCCCCCTCAACTGAAAATGTATAGCTGTGCCCCCCCCCCTCCAAACTGAAATTGCTTCCTACGGGCCTGCTTCCAGCAGGCTTGGACTCGTATGTACACCAAACTGTTCAGAGGTGTTGCTTTAGGATTACGCATGGTCTGAGACATTTGAAGTCGATATTTGTAGTGTTGTGGATCAGAACAATGACATGAGAAAGTCTTTTGGCTCTATTTCCAGCATCCCGTAGTCAATTGCAAACGGTCCCGTTTAATATTCTGTGCAGTTCAGGGATAGCTAATGCTGCAGACGTCATCGTGGAATGTTTATGAAGATTACGCAAATCAAGGAAGCCGCTGTGATCCCGCGCTACTGATGCCACGCGTGGTCTGCCATATTGTTGGCAATCATTTGCTGTACCATGCTGTTGGTATCTGCTTTTTAGGTGAGATATGGTGCCTTGAGCAACATTTAATCCTCTTGCAATTGTTGTTGTTCACCGGCTTCCAGTTGCCCAGTTTCCTTTTTTTTTATATGCATTGCTTAAATTCAGCATTTTTGAATGCGTCAATTTTCAAAAAATATCAGAATCAAAAAATCAGTAACCCAAGGATAGACCTTTTGTACCTGGATGGTGTGGATCAGAAACCAACAAAAGAAAAGTGTTAAAAAGACCAAATTTTAGCATTTTGCAAAATCGTGTCTTTTTGTCTCTGAGTTTTGTAGATTGGCTGTCAAGTTTACAATAGAGTTTTTTTTTAAATAAATTTTACCAAATAAATTTTACTTGAATGAATCATATACATCTTTAAAAAAAAGCTTATCAAAACTATTTTACATAATTCAGTATATTACTCCTATTGTGCGTGTCTTTTTTTTTTACAGTATATTTTGAACCTCAGTAGGACAAAAATGTTAATGACCACTATGTAGGAATGACAAGCCTTATTGCTTCAGATAGTAAAAAGAAACTATTGGTAAAAAAGGTCGTAACTTTGGTTACATTTCAGTGAATGAAATCTTGAAATTAAGAAATATTCAAATTGTTTCCATTTTTAAAGTCTCATGCTATAGTTAAAGATCCTTAAGAAGAATAAACAGATTATTATTTGCTTACTGCTTTCTTGGTTACTACGGCAACAGGCCTTTACGACATGATTTTGCATTGAAAGTATGATTCTAATAAGGGCGAGGTTTATTAGAATATATCTATTTGATGTAAGTAGACATAAAAGAGAAAAGGTTTGGAAAAGTTTGTTTATACATCCATTACCATGGAAATTATATTTTAGTGATATAGAATAGGCATGCAGGTTTTGTAATTAAAAACTACATATTATTTCATCTATGATTATTATTAAAATTGTTCATGAACTATGGAGCTTTTTTAAACTTTTTTCTGAAAACTTTTCTTTCGAATCAAGAATTTGTCAGAGTTCCACCTGACTGCAACAAGAAATGGAGGGGGGGGGGGGGTTAACCTTTAAATGAATATTTTCATATTAAAACTTCAACAAAAGGCTTTTTTCTTAAGAAGGATGGCGCATACTACTGGCCTGATATTACTTAAGGATTGACTTGCTAAAAAAAACCATACGAGTAAATCTGATCAGTTTCAAGACCGATAATGTTGAAAACGTTCATATGATAATAATTCATAAAACACTCCCTTTTGGACTTCTGGGGGAGGGGGAGCCCTGAGGCACAGACATCAAAATTCCGAAACGTTAATGCTTCTCTACATACCGCTACCACTTAGAAATGTTGGAGTTCTACTGCCAAGTCTGTTTTTAGTAACATCTATATTGGACTTGAATCAAAAGTTTAAAACTTACTGCAATTCTAGATACAATCTTAAGAATTATAACACGCGCATAATGTACAATGTATGTCTAAAACGCGATGGAAACGGGAAGTGTGGGTATAAATTAAAAATTTAATTATACACTGGAACCAATTAATGATAAGTACTTAGGTATATCGTTAAAAGATCACCAAAAGACACATGCATATCATTGATTTTAAAAAGCCATTAATTATAGGGACGAAAAGTTCTCATTTCCGGACATTCTTTAAAGAAAACTAGTCTCCATGTGGAACCCGGACTGTAATGGTATTGCCATTGGATATTTTAATCATGCCGGTCTACATTCGCCCTTTCTAGCACCAATCCGAAATTCATTTCAAATCATAGAATATGCTAGAAAAAAATATAACACTTTTTTTTCTATTTATGAGATTTAAGCACAGCAATTTCATATGTATTTCAATCTCAGCATTGTTTTCACATTTTTGGTACGAAATAATGGAAACTGTAACGCCCCATTTTGTTCTTTTCTACTTTGCATGTCTGGAGCGTCTCTTTTCCCGGAATTTTCCATATCTCTCCAGGAGAACGACAAACAACCGGCTTGACACAGCCTGAAACACAAAATATCAGTGAAACATTACACTCAAGCTTGCTAGCGCGCGGTCCAAAAAAGCGGGAAAAAATGATCGCATTTATTATGGAAGCCTAATTTAAATTTCATCTGCATAAAACTGAATGGCAACCTAGTTAGAGGGAGAAAGGAAAAAATTACCTATTAAATCTCGGACACAACATTCTGAAAAATAAATAATTGGACTTTTACAGCTTCACTGTTTAAGGATAAATAACACAAACAAACCTTTTTCAGAAATCAGCAATATTTTTTTGTAGATTTATATTCAAATGGGTAACCTGAATAATGTTTGCCATGTAAAGTTGGAGAATTCAGTAAGATTTTGTCACAATGTTAAAAATACGTGCAACATTTTGTATAGAACTATAAAGAAACCAAAACAAATTCGCATATTTTAGCACCAAAGAAAACTTAAGATTTCTTTATATTTTAGGGATTTATTATTTTTGTTACTTCTATTCGAAATCTGTCAAAAAATATGTATCAATCCAGGCATCAAATTTTTGTTTGTGTTATGTATCCTTAAGCAGTAATAATGTTTTCCTAAGTAATGTTCTCTCCTGACTAGATAAAATTTCCCGCCATGAAGTGATACTCACTGACATTAATGATTAACACTTTGTTTTGCAGACACATCATTTCAAAACATTCGTGTGTCCAACGACTTCCGTTCTCCCTACACCTCCCATGCTGGTCCCGACACATTTGATTTTCAGTGGTAATTGTTAGACAATCTTTCAAGGTATTTAGACATTCTGTGACGAGATCGAGAAATTCTGATTCACCAAATAATATTCACATGTATCTGATTTCGTGATTTACTGGTTTTTTGTTTTTTTTTGGAGGGGTGTAAATTGACAAGATTTGTAATGATATATATTACCTATACTTACTGTAATTGATGACAGATATTTTGTGACTGCGACACTCTAGTCTCAAACATTTCATGTAGTCCCAGTGTTCTCCGTCATTTCGACAGATACCGTCAACGTCTCGACAGACTCGATTCGTCTGATTGACGGCCAAACATCGATCGAAAGCATCCCGACATTCTGAAAATCAGAGGTAATGAGAATGATCTATCAAGAATTATAAAAATTATTCAGCATACTGTAGTCAGGGCATACAAACATACTTGAAAAAAATATTCGACTGATAAGGAGTTGATAAAATCAATATCTTACAATCTGAAAATCAAAGGTTTACAAAAAAGCATAACAACTCTCTCCTATTCAGAAATTAAATGGAATAATTTCACAATTTTACAAATCAGATGATTCTGTAAAACCCTTATAAATGAGTTCTCGATGATTTTTTAAATTCTAGATAACACTCATGTACATATTCAGAAATTATATAAAAATCTACTAAATTGTTATTATAATTTTAAAAATATGTGTCGGTAGAACGCGAACCAAATATTTTTTTTTATTTTTCAAATTACAGAAGCTATGCCCATTGAACCACTAAGCCAAAAAAAAGACGTTAAGAATCGTTATACATAAAGCAGAACATAATAAAATGTATTTGAACAAAATATATAATTTTATTTACGTGTATACGTTTTGCGTATAAATTTTTCCTCGTGGAGTGTTCGATTTTTTCAAATTTAGAGGTAAAGCAGAATGAAATCATGTCCTTAATAAGTACTTATTTATTGTCATACAGAATTTATAAATCTTTAAAGATAAACTTCCTGACATAGATACCCCACAAAACTGTAATAAAACTTTTTTATTTAAATCTTATTTGTTATGTCACAAGGCAACAATTGGGGTTCCTATTTCTTACCAGTCTTTATACATGCTTCCTTAGCCGCGATAACAGATACTAGGAATACTAGTGAAACAACAGTCCAAAGCGACACCAGGTTCATCTCAATGAACTTAAAACCGGGAGACGTGACTTTTACTTCTCTTTCTTTACCGTGGCCTGTCTTCTTCTGAGAGATTTATAACACTTGGATTGATTTTTCCTTCATTTATAATAAGTTACATCTACAGTATAAATCACGTGACATATGGTCCGATTGAGAGGAGTTCCGGAGAGTCGGTCATCGCACTCAGCATCAGAAAACATTATTCAAAGATCAGAAATTTAGCAGTGCATTATGTATATTTTATTGTAGATATTTTATTTTTTATTATTGAAGGAAAAAACTGTATAAGAAGGTAAAGTAGGAATTTGAATGTCCAACCATTTTCAAAGGGGTAGGAATGGGACAAGACAAAATGAAACACCTCAATTTAAACAGTCATTTTAACCTCCTAGGTTCAAAGGGAGTGGGCCGATATTCACTGGAATTCATTGCTGAAATTATATAAATGAATGATGTGTGTTTACTTCAGGGATTTTTAAAGAATACGAATATATGCAGTCTACAGGGGAGATAAGCTATGACCAAGTTAAGATTAACCCTGCTTCATAACACTGGACATTCAGTTAGTTTTCCATGGATGCTTAGCCCTACCGAATCATACTGTTTCCTTCAAACCTGCATGTATACAATTTGCATTTTTCTATGAGGCGCCGTTTTGATATTTATTGCCATTTAGTGATATCACCTATTCGAATAAGTGATATCACTCATTCAAATTGAATAGGAGATATCACATATTCCAGTAGGTGATATCACTAATTCAAATATGTGATGTCAATTAGTGAAAAGCTATAAACAAAAGCTTTTCAAAATTACATAAGATTATAATGTGATAGAATAGTTAGATTTCCGCTAAACCGACGACCAAAAAAAATCAAAACTGAGTAAAATTTTGTACTGTTTGATTAAGTTGGGATATTTTCGACTTTTTGTAGTAACTGATTTTCATCTCGTTACAGGCCAAAAGTCCTGTCCCGTTAAAAAAAATCCTTAGAATGTACGTTTTTCGACAAATTCGGCTTTTTGGATTAACCAGAATTTGCTGTTTATCATAAGTATAACAACATTCATCCGAAAATAGGTCCATTTTCTTTTCTTAAATAATGCCAATGCAATGCTTCCTGAAAATGCTTGAAAGTGTGCATTGCAAGTACCTCTAGTGTATCTCTAGCGGGAATTTTCAAAATTACGTTGAAAGAGTGGTGCAGGTGCAAATATGCACCATTCCACACCTGTACATGCATACACTAACTCTGATGACAGTCATGGACCGGAAGTCCAAGGAATACTACTCAGCAGAGGATCGAGGAATTGACCACAGCACACAGGCACTTGTTTCGATAATAAATTTTTAAAACATTGCATAATAATTATACTATGGGTTAAAAAATTTATTACAGAAACAAGTGCATGTGCTACAGCATCTGAGAAAGAGGTACATCAAGACGACTGGACGTTTTTTTTTTTTTTTGTTTTTTGTTTTTTTTTCAAATCAAGAAACTGTTGAACTCAATGCATCGCAGAATTCGAGCTGCAACTGTTTACATGTTGGACACTTTAAAATCGCTATTGAATTGGGAAAGGGGGTTGGACTATAATCTGTCACAAGTTACGTGATAACGTTAAGCTTTTTCAGTCAGATGTCTGTTATCAAGTTATCTCTTAGCTTACTGTTAAATTTTATGTTACATTGTGTAGTATTAGGGAAAATATTTAAAGTTTGTGTGATGTATATTTTTTACTCACATTTTTAATATTTCTTTTAACTAGTGGCTCAATTTCAACCAGCAATGACAATGTAACAAAATTTTAATCAGACACCGGGAGGTGACCTAGGGTAATCTCAGCGAGATCCGTAGAGACTAAAAGTTTTGGTCTGGTGTCTCTACGGATCTCAGACCAGTGTCACATAATTTCATTCGGGGTTTCGTGCCCGGACTTCGACCGTTTGTTTCGATTAATACAGGCTGAAATGAATTAGCTGTCCGCTTCAACCTTTTGCTTTGGACATCCTTTTGATTCCCTATCACCATAAAACTTTCGTTTCTTACCTCTGAAAGGTTTAAATCCATCAAAATATATAAAGTTGTTCATTTTTCATAGCAATAAGCTATTCGTTTAAACTTCTGATGCTGAAGAGTTCCAGCAGCAATAGTCTGCTTCAAATACTTCGTTCTACTACTATTTTCTATAGAAATGAACCATAGTACCAGACCAAAATTTTTAGTCTCAGATTAGACCTAGGGTAGATTTCCAACAAAGAAATTTGAGCCCAAAGCTGTTAAACTATGATTAGGCGCTATTTTTCAAAAGTGCATATAATCGTAATTTTGGATCGGCGTCCAGTCCAGGAGAGAAATAATAAATAGAAAAATGAAGGAGCAATCATAAAATCTTAAATTCTTTCAAGAACCAATGAGCAAAATGTCAAGTTAAAATGCTGATCTCCGGGCTGGGATTGGACTGCATCAGGGAGTCAAAATATTTCTTAAAGGGAATAAATATAGTAAAAGTATAATTAATATAAATTTTCTTCTGTACTGCAAGATAACATTTCAAGCATTCCACCTTAAGTTGACTCAATAACACTAATCATACTTTACTAGAATTCATTGTAAAATCATGTACATTTTAAGTTTAGATTTATATGACATGTTCGTCTTTAGAGGAATATGATTCAGGCGAGCATCAGGGGCAGATCCTGCAATTTTAGAAAGAGGGATTCCAGGGTGGTGCCCCCCAACACTCAAACATAGAATCACAGAGAGAGAGAGAAAAAAAGAAACCATTTATACTCCCTTTCACAGGGGTGGATCCAGGAATTTTTTTCAAGGGGGGGGGGGGTCCACATTAACTTTGATAAATGTCAGACTCGAATTTTTTTGGACACCCCCCCAAAAAAATACAACTTGCCAAACATGAAAAAAAACCTATTTCACAGGACGGGGAATGTAGACACTTTTCTTAATCAATTTTCTTTAGATACATACTCTTCTTTCCATTTTAAGGGGTCAATCTTTCCAGGGGGAGGGGGTCCAAGAACATTTTTTCGTTATATTTACATAGAAATTTAATAACTCGAGTTAGATCCCGGGGGGGGGGGTCCGGACCCTGAACCCCTCTAGATCCACGCATGACTTTCATTACTTATTAAAGTTTATTCCATTAGAAGATGTTCCGAAATGATACAGCCTACGTTCGACGGAATCTTCCTGTGAAAACGTGTTCTCTCTCTCTCTCTCTCTCTCTCTCTCTCTGCAAAAATAAAGGAGGGGTTCCAACCCCCGACCCCCTCTCTGGATCCGCCAATGGAGCATTATGACTATGGTTCCATGGATAATCTAAGTGCTGATGGTTTATGTGTTTTTACTAGTACTGAGCAGGTTTGAAGCATAGTGGTTATATTTATATAGGTCCCTGTAGAAATAAGACGTAAAATAGAATTTGAAAATGGATCTTAATTATGCCGTCATTTTAAAAATTTTACTAGTATGTGTTCAATTTGTGTGATAATCGAGGATGATACCTGTTTTCTAAGATTGATCACGAAAAGGCTTAGTAATGTTCTAAATGTTTATTGAATATACACTTTAATATATGTAAATAACCATTTATACAAACACATTAATCATTGAAAGCACAGGCTAAACAGTTTTTAAAATGCATGAATGTCAATCTGACTATGTCATTTCTATATATATAACAAACAAAAATTTACGTTATTTCAACCTTTGTTTTCAATGTATGCATCATTATTCATCCTATATGTTTATATTCAAAGCACCATCTCTATTTCACATTGCTATTTTATTTTTCATGCTTCTAAACTAACAGTCATTGGAAAATCCATGTGTGCTAAGTTCTAATGTTTTATCTTCCTTGTGTTTCGCGCTTAACATATCTCAAGTCCAGAAATATCCCTTACTTCAAGAACAGGACACTCATAAATAAAGCGGTCCCGACGTTTGAATTTGCTGTCAAATGGTTGATTCCACGTGTACTTGTAAAACGAAATTATTAAACGTCAGTGTAAGTTGAAAGCATCCATGTCTCTGAATTACAATAGGTTTTTACAAGACCAACGCCCAAAAACTTAATAAAAAGACAAGTGGAACTTTGTATCGAAATCCATATAATTATAACTTTTATATTCTTTCATATAAGCTTCAGGATAGGCTACTCAGATACCAAAAAGGAGTATCTTTATTGGAAGAAGGACCGTTTGTTGAGTTTGTCCTGTTCAGTTCATTTAAAGCAATCATAAAACTCGTTCTAAATAACAAGGAACTTGCATAATTTATTTAGAGAACACCAGGACTGTTAGGTTAACAAAAATACTAGTATATAGAAAAAGGTCTGTAGAACATCCACTGGCTGGCAATTCGTGCAATGATCAAGGACACTACAGCAAACGCAACTGTATGACAAAGACCATACAACATTACAATGAACACGTCAAAATTAAACATCGGTCTATTAAACTGTACTTCTGGAATCGACGGCCTCAACTCAGGGGCATCGGGATTATCTCTGTTTATCGTATCCATTTCTATTGCGTTTTGGGTTTCATGGTATCTAAGATGCAAGATTCTTAACCCGTCAAGTGTCCACATACCCATGAATGGTAGATAATAAAATATGCATACCATAACAACAAAAGCCATAGCATCGACAATATACACAACGCATAGAACAACCAGTGCTAGAAAAGTCGAGATTACGAAAACGACCGAGATTTTCAACCAAAAAGAACGTGAGAATGATGATTTCCCTGTAAACTGTAGAAATCCCGTAAAAGCCTTTATCAGTCCAAAGCACACAGACCACAAAGAGAATAGCCAGAAGACAACGAATCCGGACACTGCAATCGGTGTTTCCGTAGTATTGAGCGTATTTCTTGTACTTTGCAAGGTAATTGATATCAAAAGTAGAATTTCGGATAATCCTCTTGCTAATTCCAATATATTAGAAGATTTTTTTCATTTTTCCCGTGGCTA